TGGGAAGTTTAGGATCAATCTTTGATTATGCACGCAAATTGAACAACTGAAGCCTGTGCTTTATTACGAAATACGTTTTCTGACAAAGAACACTTCTTCTACAACATTCAATTTTGCTGCCTATTTGAGATAAATGCCTTCAACTGTAAATGTTTTTTTTTTGTAATTCAATAATGTGAGTTCATGATGAGAATCTTTGCAGCGATGCGAGCTTGCTGAGCATAAAACATTTCTTATAAATATTTATTCATACATAAGAAGGCACAAAAAAAGTTGTTTTAACAAACTTTGAAGCTGAGAAGCGATGAAAAGTGGTGAATAATACTGTTATTATTACAGAGCTGGGCAGCGCTACTTTGAAATGTAGCGGCGCTACCGCTACCGCTACATGCTCTAAATGTAGCGGGCGCTATCGCTACCGCTACACCCACTAGATTGTAGCGAGCGCTACCGCTACCGCTACAGTAAAATGTAGCGCCGCTACATTAGCCGCTACAATGGCTAAAATTACTGGAAATCTCTAAATATTTATTTTTCTGCTATTGGGATTTACTCAAAAACATTTAATGATAATAAAACATTTTCAAAACATATCAATGCAACTTTATTGCAATTAACCTAACCGAACTAGTACGGGTTAGATACAGTAAATAAAAGTTACAGTTATTTTTATGTTTTACCTTCCCTACATGGATGTCTACCTCTCAAAAATTATCCACATATTCATATAAAAATCAGTCTTTTATTTGTATATATATATGTGAATTATTTTTGAGATTGGTAGATTAAAGTAAACATCCATGTAGGGAAGGTGAAACACAAAAATAACTGTGTAAAAATAACTGTAAGCAAACTGAAACATGAAAAAATACCTGTAAGTGTTAACTGGTAACAACTTAACAAGTAACAACTAACATTTGACACTAGTAACAGGCTGAGGTTGACAACATTACACCGAAATCTTTCGTACAGTTTTATTCTATAATTAATATTATGTATGCATCATGCTGGTTTTTAAATAATATTTAATACTATTAAGTAAAATCTAAAGGCTTTATCTATAGATGTAGCGGTAGCGCTGTAGCGGCAAAACCTCGTATCGCTACTTAAATGTGTAGCGGGCGCTACCGCTACCGCTACATTGCCTTAAATGTAGCGCCGCTACCGCTACTGAAAATGTAGCGGCCGCTACATGTAGCGCGCTACTGCCCATCTCTGAATAATACATATTATTTCGTGCAGCAGGCTCCATTCTCATCGCGCCATTGTTACCTTTATTGAACGAATGCACGGGCAATGATAATCCTCGTCGCTGGATGTCCGATTTTGCTTTTTCAGGATAATCGGAATCTTCGCGTTGCTCTTATGCTTCAATTTGCCGTTTCTCCGCAACAAACGCGCGAAAGGAAACCAACTCTGTGGTTCTCTTATTTCAATAACATGCTCTGAGCCATAATCACTTTCACTGGGGGCAGAGTGAGTTCTAGAGCTCAACCAAGACGATCTCTGCACCGAGTTGTATTTTGAGTCTTCACAGGACGCCGTATCCCTGCCTGTGTCTTGCTTAGCACGTTCCCCGAAAATAGAATTTTTGATCTTCCTGAATTTGTTGGCTTTCTGTACTTGAGAACTAGGAATGTATGTTTCCGGTTTCTGAGCGCCGTTTGGGCGCGATGGCCTCGCAAGACTAGATGCTTTGACCATCAGGACGATCGCGCTGGGCTCCTCCGGCGTTTTGTAAACGTTCAGGTAATCTGCTCGAGCTTCATCCACTTGCTCAGAATTAGTTGAACTGTGAACTTCAGTGTTGATTCCGAAGAAGACCATCGCATCTTCTCCCACGGAAATGCCACGCACAATTCGCTGGATACAACTCATATTGAAAATTTTCGTGTTCGGTTGCTTGACCTCGGGCACCAGCTATAAGCATAAGTTGGCGAGTGTATTTATTGCAATCATGAGCTTAAATGATCAAATTAGGCTTGAATTGTACCCGAGTTATAATATTATATAAGCTATACAGTTGTCTCCAATCGGGATTTGTCTTCCATTCCACCATCACCAATTTTTGAATGTTACAAGCACAAAAGTCACTTGTTCAAAAACTTGTAGTTAGCGTTTTTAATACCTTCATCTTTAGCATGGCAATAAGAAAGCAAAGGAGAACACATGCCGAAGATTTCAAGTGAAACATATTTCCAGTGTACTAATAATTCATTATATTGAGTGCAATATTAATAGTGATGCGTGTTCACGAGTTTATAGCTGTAGCGGCTACTTTGACCACCGCCGCCCACCGTGAGTTCAACGCGCCGACTGTTGCAGTGAATGCAATCACTGCGGAGTGCGGTGAAGAGACGTACGAGTATAACAAGAACACACGTCATGGCTTGGTACGCTTCTGACGAGCGGATATTGCTTGCTGTTTGTTCGCAGCCTTTAATTTTAGGATTGGCTATTACCAGTTTTACGTAGATACATTTGTAAGCATTGTAGACTTTCTATGCGATCTCGTCTTCCTCAAACGATGAAGCATTAAGGTTAAGTTTTATTTTTGTTAGTCTTTCGCTGTTATGTTTTTCATGTTTGTTTTTCCCGGAATTTATTCGTAGCTCTCTCGTAATATTGCAATTAGTTTTATTACGCATTGCAACTTGAATTTTCATCAAGAAAGTGAGTGAACATGATAGCATATTGATAGTAGTTCCATCATAGTACTACAATCATGCTATTGATAGTAGTAGTATGACTGTATGAATAGTATAATAGTAGTATCAACAACGCTAAGAATCACAATGATAGCCAAGAACCACAATGATAGTTGACCTATGAAATATAAATATCCTTTGCGATAAGGTGACCTTTGTGGACGGCAGATGATCAAAATCAGTGTTGCTATGAGATTGATGTAGAATAATGTGCGTTTTCCGTTGATCGTTACGTTTTAACGTACACAATAAGTCCGATGTCTTCTGAGCTTGCTGCTTTCGATGTTTCCGTACATTAGCCACGTTTTCAGAAATGGGTGTTCTCACTCTAGGCACGAATATATGGGAAGCTCATAGTTTGGCACACATTGCTCATTTTAGCAGACTCGCCCTCTGCAAATTAATATAATCTTCTGTCAACTGGTGCCTACTACGCAAAAAGACCTATATTTTTTATTGTCTAGCTTCTATCCATGAATTTAAGTCAAAGTGGATTCCGCGCTGCTTATATCAAAATTGATGTTTTTTTTTTTTCATTTTAGAATCGAGCGTTCAAGAAAGCATAATCTCGAAGGGTTCATGCGTATTGCATTCGGAGGGAAGTAAAATGTTTTTGATTCCTAATGACACTGTGGCATATTGTTGAATTTAATAATCTTTGACCTACCCGCTAACTAGACGTGTTTTTTTACACTCTCTGATGCCGACATTATTATTTAACAGCAGTTTGCTTTGCGCGAGTGCAGATCTTTGCATCACGAGAGGAAAGGCACATCTCTAACTACTACCTAATAAAATACACAGTGGCGCACCCCAGAGCACAATTCTCAATCATCACAACGACTATGCTTTTCGTCATCGTCAACGACCCAATATTGAGAGTGGCCTGCAAGAGACTTATATTTCATATAGAATCGATGAACCCGAACGATGAAGCCCACATTGACCTGTACAAAACTTAAGCGCGACCTCACTTTTCGGTGGAAGAAAAAATGTATTACTACGAGCAGATATGGAAACGAATCGACTCATAATACATAATTTATTAATTCTGAACTGTGTTCATAGAAACACAAAAAAATGGCGAAAATTGGATTGGCCCGAGCATGGTTGAATTAATATTAATTAATATATTATGTATTAATTCAACCATGGGCTCGTGCTACTGCCCGGTGGAATGGAAGAAAGTAATAGAAAAGAGAGTGAAATTGTGTGGTCTAAGAGTATGGAAGCAAGGAATGGAAAGAAAGGACAGCCTGAGATTGTACAAGATGAAAGAAATGCCAAGGTATGAATATATATATGATGGAAGTAGAGGTGGAGACTTAATGTTCTGTGTGAGAGCAAATGCGTTGGGTGTGAATGCACGGACATACATGTGGAATGATAGAAGAGAAGACATTTGCTTTATGTGTGACAGAGGTGAGAGGGAAACTGTGGAACATCTGATGATGGAGTGTGATGCATATGAGCAGGAGTGACTGGAAATGATGAGAGTGATACTGGATGAGAGGAATGAGGGTGATGGTGTGATGTATGAGCGAACAGGAGATGAATGTATTGCAATGATTGTGGGACTGTCAACTGGGGTAACTGCTGCTATGATTGAGAGTGGAAAACGATTTTTGGAGAGTGCTTGGAGGGTGAGAGAGAGGAGGAGGTTGGCTAGAGTGGAGGCTGGGAGGGTGTAAGAAAAAAAGCAATAATAATAATAAAATTGAAATAACCAAACCATAATAATATCGCAAATAGTCACTCAGGGCCTACGAGGCCCCATAGCTAATATAATTATCAAATACACAGTGCAATAATTGACAAATAGCAATAATAAACCAATGAATTTCCCCTTGAACTTCTCTTCCCCTTGATTACTTCTCAACCTTAACATAAACTTTCACACCTCTTCTAGCCTCTTCTCTTTAATGTTGTTTCCACCTGGCTTGGTCTCCCTTCCTTCTTCTTACTAACAAATGAAAATGTGATGCGTGGCTGATGGCCGTTGCGAAGGCCTGACCCTGAAATTCTTTCTCTCAGAGTCACCACGCCCCAAATCCAAATCCAAATCGGAAGTCCTAAGAAAATCGGGAGCAGGAGCCTGTGCTACCTGGTCAGCGCAAGCCAGCCAGGTAGCACAGCGAAACTGACGCGCAAAGTTCCATGCCGCTCATCCTGTCAAATAAATGCAACTGATTTGAATGTAACGCAACCAATTTAAATATCAGTTCGAAATCGAACCATGAATAGCTCAACCATGGTTCGAATTCGCCGAAAGCGTATGCGGATTCTGGATTCTAATCCGTCGGTGCGCGCAGAACATTCAAAAGCGGTTGCGCCATGTATAATTGACAATCCTTCGTTTAATCGTTTTGAGAGTTGAGAACTTGAGACCCGTCATTGATTCATTGCAATTGAAGTTCAATTTAAATCAAGCAACCGCTGACTTATAAGGAACTCAACAGATTATTTGGTGAGTCGAACCGATGAAAAGTTTTACCTTATCAGCTTATGACGTACCTACGTAATTGCATAGGCTATTCATAATAAATCATCAAATCGTTACTCAGGCCTCAGCAGTCAGCGACTCAACGTTACGGTCGGACTTTAGGTACTAACTTTAAACAAGTCTAATCAAGAAGTCAATATATTTTGTGCTGTTTTTTTAATATAAGTTGCTGACTTGCTGTGTTCAGGTCAGCAATCCCAATAATACGGCAATACCCCGCCCCCAGAGGCCCAGACCCAGTCGGTGAGTCGGCCAGTCCCAGTCTCAGCAGTCTGAGTCTCCCAGATACCTGTAGAGTGTAGCCTGCAGGTGCAGGCTCACAGGCTGCAATGCCCTGCAAGCCTTGGCAGTTGGCACTTGGCTATACACTCTATACTCTATAGTAGTGCCACTGTGGCCTGTGCCAGTGGCAAAGGAAAACATTTTTTTGTTAGTTGTTAGCTTGTTACCCTTCCTCAGACCTCAAGTACATTGTTTAGTCCTATTAGCAAACTATTAAGTAGGTATCTTAGATAGCTAGGCCTAGGTACCAGAAGGACTATGAGAATAGCCATTATAGCCTACATAAGAAATTGATTAGGCTAAAATATTGAGAAGATGAGAAAATTAGAAATTAACTGATTCTAAAAATACCTCTGGTTTGACTATTTGATCACTATTTTGAGCGTATTTACTCAAAATCAGCATTACTTTCTCCAAAATATAGAGCTGAAATAATTTGGATTTTGGCTATTTTGCATGTTAAAAATATTAAAATCAATATTATTTAAAAGTACAAAGTGTATTTACTTAAAATTGGCATTATTCTCTCTAAAATTTTGTGTTAAATAATGTGGGTTTTGACCTATTTTGCATGTTAAAAATATCAAAATATAAATTCTAAATTAAAAATACATAGCGTATTTACTCAAAATTGGCATTATTTTCTGAAAAAATTTAGAGCTAAAATAATGTGGATACTGGATAATAATATACGTTACCAGGCCAGGCTGGGCGGCTGGGCCTGTAGTCCTGTACTGACCTCATGAGTCATGACCTCATCCTTACTCCTTAGTAAATAAGTAACCTAGGCTAAGTAGGCTTTATTCAGAATTTTTTATCATTAAAATTTCAATATACCAATGTCCAGTGAGTGAATGATGGAATGCCAATTGCCAATGGGATGGGTAGGCCCAGTAGGGGCAGCCCTGGCTCTCTAGGCAGGGCATGGGATGCCTGTCAAGACTCGAGTCAAGACATCATCATCATTCAGGCTTTTCAGGGTGATAATGCAATTCTAAAGTTGATACAATAGAAAATAGTATTTTGAGATTTTGAACCAATCAATGCTCCTTTGCAGACTAGTCCATACTCCATAGCATGCTAGAACCACTGCACCAGCCACCAGTGCACCACCTCTCAGGCAGTCAGCCTCTAACAAGACATAACTGCGTAATAAATAATAAAAAACAGTGTTGCCAACAATAACTACAGTTTATCCTATAGGACAAATGATGGAATTTTTAGAATCGGTTCATTTTTAATTTCTGCATCTACTCAAATCTGTCTTAAGACAAGATTTAAATCAATTTCTTATGTATGACCTTACTGGTCCTTTATGAGACTCAAAAATGAACTTGAGAAAGAGTCTAAAAACTCTCTGCTCTGACACTATGGTTTAACTGACAAGAAATTTGAATTATTTTAAATAAAAGAGCTGCCAGAGAGGCAGAACTGGTCCCCTAACTGTTTTGAATGCTACTATGTTGGATTTACTTGGCATTTTCTTAGCTTTTAATTGTTCAAAATTCAGTTAAATCTTTGGAAGTGGATATGTTCCATTTAGAACTGGGTATTTATGTTCCATGCAGTTACTGACAAACTAGCCCTAAGGCAATATCAATTTACCAATTGAATTTATAAATAACTGCGAAGGTGCACCCACCAGCACTATGTACATCTTATGATGAGAAGATCTGTATGATGCATTTGCCTCTAAGTAACTCTCAGCAAGAACTTTTAGAATTATACTAATAAAAAGTGCTCAAAAGAATAAGTTGAGCCAAGCAAAAATTTTTCTGATAAGTATAAACAGGATTATTGTTATGCAATTCTTAGATCATTTAGTTTATATTCATCTCTAACATCTATAAACCCAAAACCATTCAAGAGAATTTTGTTTTCTAATAGTCTTTTCTTCTATTGCCTTATTGCTGTTCATCAAAGATTGGAGATGATAAATGTGACCAATTGGAGTTAGCCAAATGTCTGGAAGTTTAAAGGTACTGGTTGTGACATTTTTCTTGAGTTGTGCTGAAGGCAGCAAACTATTATCTACCATTTTTTTCAGAAGGTACATGCTCATCTTTAATATTTTATTGCATTTTCAATGTAGGTGCTGCCATGCCTTCGTTGAAGGGACCGAGTAGTGGCATGACAAGCAGCCGCCGCCGCTCTTCTTCTCGAATTGGCTCTCAGTCAAAACAACAGCCCTGCCCAGACTCAGAAGACATCTTTGCAGCAACTCCTCTGGAAACAGTAACCAGCCAATACTCTTCTATCAGGAACAAGTCCAAAAATAATCAATCGTTGCAGCCAGATAATGTGCTGAGAGAAGACTCAATATTTTGTAAATATGTCTCTGAGGCAGGAATGATCTTGCATACTGATGATTCTCCTAACATTCTTTGTAAGTCAATTGTTTGATACAAAATTACCAATCCAATATATCCCATTTGATTTACTGATTAAAATGAGTCATTTTAACTGTGTGACATTATGTGCTCTATTCTTCTTAGCCAGTGTTGTGTATTAGTAGCAAGTCAATAATAGATTAGATTTCCTAGAATAAGATGAAAATTGCTGTGCAGTTCAATAGTTGAAAAACTTGACTCCAACAATTGAGCTGAAAATGTAACTACAAATTTATTTGTATTCTCTTTTTAGCCTGTGACCATGTGAAGTTCAAGCAAAGCATCAACAAGAAATTCAACTCCAATTTGTCTTTTCTTACAACATTCAAACAAAATATGCCCATAAATTCTGTAGAGCTGGATGAGTTTTTGAGTGGCTTGGAAATGTACCTCAATAAGCCTCATCGTTTGAAGTGGTCTTTGCTATACACTGAAACTGCACCTGATTGTGACGTTGCTGGCAAGGGCAATCAAGACTCTCTTGTTCGACTGCTCCTTAACGTGGATGTGCTTCAACCTAAGCTTGTCACCCTGCTTACTGACACTCTCTTGAGCCTGGCTTATGAGCAGTGAGTGTCGATCTGAGACAACTGAAGATGCACTTTGAATATACCAGTTCATATTAAAAAAAAATTACTATTAACATTTCTCTGAAGATTTCATTTTGTTTTTATTTATGATGAAATATAATAAACATAAAAGTGCTTATATTGTTGACAATGTCTTTCTTGCCATAATTATATTTAGAAAAGTTGTGGTTCTGGGTTTATGTTTAGAAGATCCAGCATGCAATTGCTTTTATTGCAGGAGTGATGCTGGTGACAGCAGCCTTCCTTCTCTTGTACTGGGCAACCTCCGCTGGCTTGACCACATCGTTGAGCCTGAGAGCCTCTCTGATGCTATCATCTTGGTCCTGTTGGCTGCCACTGAACAGGTTGCAATATTATTTTCTTGGGTTTAGATAGGAATCTCACATGAAAGATAATGTTCTAATTTGTCAGCACCATTATATTTAGTAGGTTTGACAATTAATTATGCCACACTCTTCATATATGAAATACTTGAGCTTAATTGAGATAAATGATTTTACTAATGCTGTCTAAGTTTTTTAATTGAGCAATTCAACTTGTTCCGAAATTCACATTATTTAAATATATATCACCTTATCTTTGATCCAGAAAGCCAATGATAAATTTGATGTACCAGATTAGTTCAATTTTTGTTTATTCATTGCTAAAAATTATGTATGAATGATTTACTCAATGAATCATTCCAGGTGCAACGAGAAATAATCAGCTTTATTCCTAACATCATCACTGACGAGTTCCACGAGAGGGTGGCTGATGCGTTCACGTGAGTACGCTAGTAGGAATGAGAACGCGTTGGTGCCATTACTGCTGGCTGCTTGAATCTTGCTATGTGTATAACCTGTATTGAGATCTAGTACCTATGCTAAGATACAGTAAAATGCCAACAATAAATAATGCCAATCTTTATTAAGAACTATCGCAGTGACCCGCCTCGCGCTCGTGTTAAAAGATACTGAGAGTTAAGTACGTTCTCTTCACACTATAATCAATCTTTATTGATGTCAGACATTCGTTGTTCTTACTATCACATGACTTGTTGCAAAGGCACTCATAGGAATCGCGTACAAAATCCGTTAACTTTAAAAGTAATTTTTTTCTATTATCTACACAATCATAAGGTGTTATTCAAATAAATTAAATGAGCTTTGAAGGTTCATCTTTGCTTGCGGTAGAGGCGATCTTTCCTCCTGAGGGCTGACTTAGATTGCTTGCTTTCTGTTGCTCTAGAGGACGCTCGCGGCGCAGCTGCAGCCCTTGCCACTGCTTGGTCTGTGTGGTACACCTGGCGATGAAGGGGGCTCTTTTTTATCTTCTTATACATTGCTAATTCAAATTCAAGTTGATTTATGTATCAGTTAACTCTTATACACGACTAACATCTGTCCTTCGATCGTAAGAATTGTAGTTATTAACATATATGAATTCTGCTACTCATTCTTCATGCTTATATCATTGTCATTTTCGTGCTGATGAGATAGATAAAGAATAATTCTCTGGAATTTTATGTGTAATTGAAATATTTTAATTGGTTATCTGAATATTAAAAGTGACGGGAAAAATGTTCAATTTCTAGCTAATTTCGCAAAGCATTAATCCCATTCATCACTATTGAAGCACCGATACCTTCAAATACGAATAAACTTATATACTTTTTTATTCAAGCTGTAGCTATGTTCTTTGATGATTTTCACAGTAGATCAATAACATGGCAATTACCGACTTCATTTATCGAACTGAATTATCCATTGTATGATATCTGTAGATGGAGCAAACCCTAGTCAATGCTTTTAGTAATAAAGTACGTACGGCACTCACCTTGAGAATAGCTCTCTTGAACTGCCACGCCTGGTGGGGGACGCTGGGCTCCAGCTTGAGCACCAACAAAGCCGTCTCTGGAACTGCCACTTCTGTGAGGTCCACCAATTCCTGTTCTGATGTCCCCTCTTTTATTGATTGTCTTCTTGGCATGCTGAGGGATGCGTTACTCTCGTGTGAAAATATTTCTGTTCTATTAAACTGATGAGTTGCTAGATGTTCCCTTGACCCTCGAGTTATTGGTGAATCATGGACCGTTGATCCAATTAATTCACCTGTCGTTGTTGTATGATCTTTTTCTTCGTTAATGTGATTTTGTGAGCTCGTCTTCAAAGCAACATCCTCAAGGGGGCTCTTATACCGAGCTTGGTCGATGAATATAGATGAAGCGGAATGAGTTCTATTGTGTGTGTGCGACCCACTTCGGTCTCTCGTATCCACGATTCGTTGAGCTGCAAAAAAGCTGTCCATATTTTCATTACCTATATTGAGCCTTGTAGCTGACATTGTTCTTTTTGCATTTGCGAGCGGACTCGTGTCTATGTGGTCAGAAGAATTGTTTAGATTTCTTCGTGGAGAGTCCAGCACAGATGTGCCTTGGTGTGCTGATTGTAAAAATTTTGATTCTAGCCCTGAGAAGCTTTTCGGCTGCCGCTGTTCAGTGTTCATATCGTTATTAGTTTCAACGCGGCAATATTTACCATTGGATGGCACATGTGCTTGAGTAGGACCTCTGTGATATGTTGGCGTATTGTCTTGTTCACGCTGTTTGCTTTGGTACGAAGTGTCTTTTTTTCTGTCCGTTTCGAAATTCTTGAAGAGTTTCAGGGGTGAACGAATGAGATTGGAGAGACTGCCATTGATTTTGTTTTTAGATTTGCTCGAGATTCTAGAAGTTAATCTTTCGTTGTGTCTAACTTTACTCCTGAGATCAACGTTCCCGTTATTTCCATAATGGTTATGACGAATTTCTTCTTCCTGTATTTTTTCTGTTGTGCTGTCTCCGCCATTTTCACTAGTTGAAAATTTAACTCCATTCATCTTTGATGAGTTTGAATATGGCTTGGGCTGATATTGGCTCGAGTGTTGTTCAGGAATTTGCATGTCCGGGGGATCGTCGGGAAGAATTTTATGGGTTAAAGATTTTCTAAACTCGGGATCACTCGTAGCTTCCCTCATGTTGTGGTCTTGCATCTCTGTGCGCGGGGAACATCTGCGCACGTCGCTGTCGGATTTACTGTTGTAATATCGATCCTGTTTCATATCACAGTTTCCTGACCACCGATATTCTTCATGCTCTTGTTTGAAATCTGCAGCTTGAGATGTTTGTATTTTGTTCGCTAAATTGTCCCCATCCTCCTTTGATTTATCCTCTAACGTTGCTTTGGTGTGCGGCCTCTTGAATACACGAGGCAACTCGTGAAGTAGTTCGGTTATATCGATGTTGATGAATGCCTCCTGCTTCTGCCAAGAGATGTAAGCTTGTATTATTTCATAATATCTTTTTACTAATGCATATCTTAACATGTTATTTTGATTCAGCATACGCCAAACTTACTGTATTACTCAATAACTCACCTTAATTACACCGTCGTCGCTGTCTGACTCGTACTCGCTACTGACGGACCATTTTTCGGCGGACTCGTGAAAACTCAAATCGACGAGCTTCCTCCTCTCGGTCACCATTTCCGTTTTATTGAACATCGGAGCTGTAGAGATCAAACTTTCCCTTGGAGGCCCGTGGGAAATTCTAATTTTGTTTTCTTTCTCCTCCGAAACGTTTTTGTTTCGATCAACTGATGAATTTCGAGACGAAAGCGCATTGGGAAATGTCATAGCGCTCGGCTTTGCGTCTACAGGCTCTTCGCAGCCACTAGCCGTGGTCGAGTGCCGGTGTCCAGATTTGTGGCCTTCGTTGGTATATTGCACTGCTAATGCAACCCGTTTTTCATTCATTTTATTACAGATGAGGTTAAAATTTGGCCCTAATATTGGCTTGAATCCAGACCCTAGACTGTTGCGCTTTACTTTTCTCACCCGTGGTTTTTCCCTTACGCTCTCACGGGCGTCGGAATTGTCGGAATAAAGACTCGAGTCCAAAGGATCATCGATAAATTTGTCGGCATCTTCATCCTCTGTTTCGTAATCGCTGCTTCCTTCTTGGCTGGCGCGTGACGCAGAATTGGAGATTTCTTCTTGGACGCCATGGCGATGAGCTGCCTCACGATAGACCATGGATGCCGCTGCTCCCCTGAGTTTGGTGGAACTGCGGTGCTGGTCCGCGGCTTGCTGCGCTCTCGCTGGCGACAGTTTGGACGAACCCCGTCTGTGAGATTTTCGTTTTGACGGATTGATTTTATAGCTTGGTGTTTTTCTGGTGTTGATACTACACTTATTTTTGGATTTGGCTGGGCTGAATCTATGTGTCCTAGCGCCCGGTCCTGTTTTGAATAGGTCTGTTGTCAGATGGCTTGGATCTGCAAAGGGTTCGGAAAAATAATGCGCGGTCGCGGATTTTGTGTTTTTTTGAAATAAGGTTATATATACATAAATTCACGAATTATCAAAATTGCGATACATTCGATTTGCGTCAAAATTATAAAGTTTTAGTGTTCTATTTAATGTAGAATTGATTATTATTATCTTTATTACCTTATTTGTTACCCTAGTTGTTCTAATAATTTAATATTATCCTTCAAGTATTTATTACTTGATGAAGCCTTGACCGCGTTCTTTTCGTCGCCCAACGTTAACGTACCACGCAGATTTACTGTACTAAGAATGTTCGTTATTTATAATTGAGTTATCCATAAAGTGGAGCGCCTCGAACGTGAGTCATACCCGAGCAATAGGACTCGTTTACTCACCATGGGGCTGAGGCTGCAAGTCATGTATGTCGGTTGTATTGATCCGCGTCAACCAAATCTTGCCCGTGTCGTAAGCTCCTTCGTGCGGCGAGTCTTTGCTATCCTTGTGTAGCTTCCACAGCCCTTCCAACACCAGGCAACACTGCTTGATGGTGTGGAAGTTTTCCACGTAGAATGTGAGGTACGTGCCCATCTGTGGCACAAAAACAGACTCAGGATGGCCGTATGGCCGTAAACTAAAAAAACTGCGCTGCAACTTCTCCACGCGACAAAATTTCTTCTCGCTTCGAATCACCGACATGTGGAACAGCCTCCCCAATGACATCGTTGGCGCTCCAAGTATGAACGCGTTCAAGAACAGACTAGATAAAGCTATGGAAAAATATATGTTCAGATTTGAAATGCCTAGCACCATATCGAACCCGGTGGAAGTCTAGTACATACTTGAAACTATCGTCAGTTATGAAAATATCCGGTCAAATGAAACGATATTAGATCTTCTGTGAACAAGGCACAAAAAAGGAAAAGAATCGGCTACAGGCCACATCAGGCCTACACTTCAGCGCCGAGATCAATATGTTATATGTTATTATTTGTTATGTATGAAAAGTGTTCACCTGTGTGGCTGTGTGGCAGGCAACAACACTCATGAAGCGTGTTTTGTAATGCGTAGTTTATGACAAGAACAGACTCATAGAGCGCGATTAAGAGTACCCATCAGTGGAGCAATCAAGAGTACACTTCAGTGGAGCAATCCAGAGTACACATCAGTGAAGCAAGAACAGACCCTCCTGCCCACTCTCAACCCACCTGCACTGACGTTGAGACCGTTCCAGGACTCTGGACTACATGAACGCTGCTCGTGTGTCCCTTGACTCTCTGCACCTTAGGCCTGTCGAGCTGCACGCTGGCTGCCATACCACCTGTGATAGATATAATACAGTCTACAGTCTCACTTCGGTAACGATATTGATAATACTCAACACTGCCACGCTATGCGCCGGCTAGGAAGCACTTCAGTATTTTACTATCGCACCAAGTGCGATAAGTACATTGCCCCAGTCGATCCGTGATCAACTGATGGCAGTAAAATAGTTCGTTTTAGTTCATATCGGATATTTAAACTAAGCAAATCCATCGCTTGGACATTTGGTCCACTTTTTCCGCCAGTTACTCTACAATAGCTTTTTTGATAATACCCACTGGCCAGAAACACATACACGCGTTCATTCATCAACAACAATAACACCAATTTACTCCTTTTCATTCAATTGATCGTGTAGATTTCGATACGTTTACTTGATCTTGATAATCTTTGTATTTGATCGAATAGATATTAATCATTTGATTATATATAAATGTACATGATCTTATAGAATTTTGGTATACATACCTGAGGTTGCCGGCTATCGTAAAGGAATCCGAGAGCCCTGCTTAGGGCCGTCACGCCCACGGAAGGCTTCATGTGCTGTCCATTGAGCCACAAGATCCGTTGACTTATTGGCGACACCTCGTAATGCTCCATCCCCACGTTCAACCTTGACTATTAATTCTTCCTAGTGACACTTATGCTAGAATTCAGGGAGAATTGTCTTGGTGGTGGGTTAGTTTTTCACATGACGTGGACCAACGATTCAGTTGCACGCTTAATAATTATCTCTCTGAAACGAGAGCGTGGTTATAACAGGGTTTTGCGCTTTTCATCTATTCGCAAAACGTGAAGTATGTTTTAATTAAACGAAAATTGTATGTAAAAATTATATTCGTTCTATGGTCGAGTTCCATTCAAACTGAGGATTGTTTTTGAAGCTTTGTCTTTAATTGCATCTATGGTGGTATTCTCAGATTTTATTTATTTTCAAATCCTGCATAATGAGAGAGGATCTATAGAATTAATTAACAGTCTACAAGTGGCATGATTCAAAATTTCGTGAGTGGCATGAACCAACATTTCGCGAGTGGCATGAATCAACAACATGCCCAGACGTGATCAGAATTCATCTGACCCCTAATCCATGCTATGGAAGCTATTGTGTATTCACTTCGCAAGGCAAAAATTTATCCACAACCTCCAACGAATCCTGATAATTTGAAGCGTTTGTTATCAAATTCTTATTGCGTTATGGAAGGGTATTTGAGAAAGAGTTTTTAAATTTTGTTTAACAATTTAACTGCAGTTAACCTGACTTCCTTCTAAAATAATAGTATCTCTCCGTCGGAAATACATTTATTTTAGTCCGAGTGCTTCATAAGAATTTCAAAGTTGTTTCAGATGCTTTCAGAAAGTTTTATTTCAATTTTATCACTAAGATATATCGCTACTGTTTGACCGGTGGCGATTATAGAGTGACGGCAGAGAGGGAAATATCCCATTAGCAGCACGTGCCGGTGACCACGACAGCTATTGAGTAGTTTGAGGGCCTTGCATTTTTTGTTGCGTTCTGGTGTATGTCACATTCTATTCGAACACTCATAGTCACTTATAATTAATTTGGCGTTTTATCACATTATTTAATATAAATTAACCTGAAGTAATTCTCAGATGTTAGTGTTTATGTTTGCACAAGTGAATTCTAACATTCGGAGCTCCACTGAACATATCTCTCGACTTGGCTCGCTTATCAGTTGACTGGAGGCGCAAACAAACGCACCTCTCCTCACAAAGGTTACTTGGCCACTGAGCGTCCACATTACATCAGGCAATAATACACCTAAGGGAGGAGCGACAGTCTATCGTGTCATGTACGCACATGTGTGTACTTGGTCGCCCATTTGCGGTACGCTACTTTTCTTCCCGAACGTTCCACGTTCAATAGTTCCTTCGAGCAAAATTGTACATATCAAGAAATGATATTCAACATGAAATATTTTATTAATAGTTCGAAACTCTGAGTGTGTACAGCCGAGTACCTAGATTACTTTCATCAGCTGAGTGAGACGGTGTTGCAGAGCGCCACTCAAGCGACCTTGAATGTCTGTGTGTGCGTAGGCACGCTTGCCGCACTATTCGCTCGCCTGTTCGTAGGACAAATTGACTTACTGGTTTGAATAGCTTATTGAGAATCTATCTGTTCTGATTTACGATGTGCCTGCGGCAGCATAGAGCCGTTTAAACTTTGTTGAAGGAATCACCATGTTAAGAAGTAATACTTTTGTAATAAATAAAATTTTTGGTATCAGTAAGCGAATTATATTATGATATTTTGCTCAGTTATTCGCGCGCTTAACGGCGCCGCAAGACATTTCAATCATCTCCTGTATCATGTAGCCGCTCTATAACAAATTTGCATGAATCATCGTAAACTGGTATTTCTTTGTGCGCATTGTCTGAAAGGGAAATATGTTTCAAATAAATATTTTTTGAACGTCCATACTCGCGACGGAGTTCATGTTAATATTAAATGCTAAAAGTAGCTACGTATAGTGACCCAGTGTTACCGTTTACTTCTAGGCACTGAGTTACACGCCGTGGTGGCCCCACACGGCCTAGCGAAGGCAGCCCGAGTGGAATTTCCGGTCGCTGGTATATGCACTTGCGGTAGCAGTTCAGGGGCCGGATTATCAAACTGGAGTATGAAAACGAAAGTATTGCTGTATTCTGCAACACAGCAAAGACAAAAGCTGCTAAATTGGTCGCATTCTTGAAGAATTGCATTGACACATTTTTGTACTAAACGACTTTTTTATTCCGATTCTCGTCGTGTTTTTTTTCCAGAATCGTTATGTTTGTTTTCAATTTATGGCAGATCTTACAACCATTGTTTGCAGTATGCCATCATTTTGCCGTTTATCGAAAATATTCTAATTAAAAGGTAGAATAGCATTAAAAAAATCGTGAAATGTGTTTTTTAGCATTCTAAACAATATTTTGTTTAATGCGTCGTTAATGCAGCATTCTGCCCTTAGTTATTACGTGTATTAATGTCTTGTTAACTCCTCCGAACACCTACATGAGGATACCGCGTGCTGACATGCCCTGTTAACCATCATAACACTTGCACAAAGGCAGATATGTTTTGACGGCTGTATGTACCTATGTCTTAATTTGTTGGCTTTAGGGATAATTTCTCAAGAGCAATCAAAAAGCTTTCCGCTATTATTGCACTGCATATCTAACCCGCGCTAAGTCCCCGTATCGTTATTATATTCAGACCGCAGACATGACACTTGATCTGTTCATATCTCTGCCGCTGCGCATCCTCGCTCGTCGATGGCTTTTACTGCGAAGAGTGCAGTGATAGTGCAAAAACTGCATCGTGATAGACATCAAAGCTTTGATACCGCGACTCGTGCTGTCCCTTAGTTTTTACTAAAAAATAATGCATGCATAAAATTGTGTTTCATTTTTATTTTCTTTAGCACTTGTGACCTGGTCAAAATATCCTTTTTATTTCCTTATGTCAGTTTTATCTTGTTATTTTGTATAGAATTACCAACTAGACATGCAATGGAGTAGTTATCTAAGAAGTTTATATTAGGAAGGTGGAGTGTGCTGGCACACTGCCTAATGGTGCCAGCTGTCTTGGCTAAGCTTGTTGCTTCAGTTATGCTTAAATAATTCAATTGCATGTTGCGTCTTTTTCCACCTGGGCGTCCAAAAGTTACTTAAAACTCTTTGTGATGTATTTTTGTTCTCTTTTCGGTTTGCCATATCCGAAAAAAATGATTTCTAAAGGTTTGTCATTGCCCTTCTATATCCCATTTTATTTTCCACTCCGTACTAGTGCCAAGTATTTAATCGAATTTAGTCTGCTATTGCACATAATTTCATGTCAACGACTCATCAGTGTCATTAAATATATAATGGTGTGATTATCTTCATGCATGATCCAGAATCCCTTGTTTTACGAACGTATTATCAGTCACATTGATTTAACTGTATTGCTTAAGCATGCACGCATCAAATGTCCCAACATATAGACCGTTAATTAGCTCCTTGCATTGCTTTAACATCACACGCACCGCAGTATATATACCGCATGATCCATTCACGCGTGTTTGCCGGAGAGATCATCTCGACTTTGCGCGTCACGTTAATCAGTTAGCTGCAAATTTCAGGTTCAAACGTGACTATAATGAAGAAGTTTTAATATTCAGAATCTAGTCCCAATTTTGACCATCGTAAGTCTCTATCGAAAATTTGACTATCGACTTTTTGACTGCGAGCAAATGTTTTCTGAAACGTCAACTAAGTTATGGGTGCGAATATGTTTGACCTGTGCCAGTCAGAAGAGCGCCTATCACTTGGTAGAGCTTGAACAGATACGCTCCTTATCAGCACAGCGCTCGTCGACGACATGTACCTTAACACTGCCTCTAAAATCTTATCGAGTCTACGCCGAACACTCGCCCACCTGAAAATATTACATACATCTTCTTATGTAATGATTTACATCCACGCATGTTGTAATTTTATTTAAGCATATTAAAGCATTTCATCGCATGTTTCTGAATTAAGAGCCCTGAACTACCTGCTTTGCGTTCAGTTTCAAGACCCTGCATGCGGCTGCCTGATAACAACTGTATTTATCAAGGCCAGCTCTAGCTCTGCTATAAGGTCCCTGGGTTGCGTATAGATGTCGTACGTGTGGCCGGCGATGATGCGGCCACTGTGTACAGGTCACGTGTCACGGCAGTGCAAGATTGAGTTCGAAATTCAGCTGGACTTTTGCTGTGCATGACTGAATTCGCTCGTGAAATCCATTTTTTTAATTTCGCATCTTGTATCAAATGTTTTTCTTCATGATCGTAATCCTAATATTTCAGCGTCTTATTATGAGATAATTTATTATGACCATGTGATGTCTTTTAATTCTCTTAAGACTTTCGTTTCTTTCGCACGATTTGCGTGTTTTTTCACCTCGTTTATCGGATTGCATGACTCATTCCTCCTAGACAGCGATGTGTCGAGCGGAAGGCAAAAAGCGTACATATAAGACCGTATATAGGCACTACATGTCCTCGGAATCATGACGGAATTCCAGAGATCTTGCTGGGTTAATGTGTTGGAGATCAGTTCTTAAATATCTATTTAATGTAACAGTATTTATCACATCACTTGGTAGAGATGCTGACAGTTTAGCTACACGAAATGTAAATAAAATTTTCCTGTTATTTTCTGCGACGCATTAAATGAAAGGAGAATATAGTTTTAGAATATTAGATCCAATTTTATATGTGCACTTCTTGTCTCTCAAAAGACCTAACGAATTTTATCATTAGCGTTATGTAAAGCATTTTGATGATATTGCCAAAAACGTTGAGGAGCGTTTATGGTGTTGTATAACATTATTGTAGGTAAAAAAATACAACGAAAAAAAGTTTCAGTTAGCTCGATTTATCTCCCTAAGTCTAGATCATTTTTCTTAAGTCAGCGAAATTATAATTTTTTAAATGTTTTCTTTCTTGATTCTACTATATTTTTATGTTTCGCGAAGGACAATGTACTCTCTAATGTGCGAGTATCATAAACAAGTGTAAGCATCAAGCAGATATTCTTAATTTTACGGGACTACGTAATCTTTTTCGAGCACGTGTTTTTGGTTGCTTTTTAGTATAAATTCCACAGTGAAATTTTATTTCTATTACTGAAGTAAAATTGAATAATTTTCCCCAACTCTTCTCAAGTTTCATAAGAAATTCTGCACTCAATCCTACACTTGAAATTTTTGTTATACCGTGAAGAACATATCCTTTTAGGTGCAATCTACCCATTTTTTCTTCGACTAAGGCTTCTTCGCTTTTAGGGCGTAATTTGTCATTCTAGAGCTCGCTTGACCTATTGACTACATGTAGTCCTAAAAAACAGTCGTTTATTTCTTTAGGTTTGAAGTGCCGATATTATTATAAGACCGACCGGCCAGGATATAATTGGTCATAATTATTCACTCATCATGAACTTGAGAATTCGATCATATATGTCGCAGCTAAAGAGCTAGTGGTAGAATTTGTTCTCAGACTATGAAAGGCTTGGCTCTTTTTCAGGATTTGGTTGACTTCGTCTATAAAAATTTAAATTCTAATAACTTAAGCGTAAGTACAAAATTTTCAATGTCAGCAAATATGTATACCTGCGTTTCATGATTTTGTGCTTTTCTGGCAATTTTTTTACAGGTATGATTAATATTATGCGCCTTTATACCTAAAGATATATTTGACTTCATTGATATAGTTTTTTTCGTTTCTATACTCAATATTTTACTCTCAGTAATTTTTGGACGTTGACAAAGTATTTTTTATAACCATAAACGAATATCTCATGGGACCAATCGTCTCGCATTTGCTGTAACACTATCCCAGTGAAAATTTACAGACGCGGCAGCTTCTGATTTGGATTACCAGAAGCTGGGGCGACTCTAAATTTTGTTAGGGTCCCAGTGAAAATTTACAGACGCGGCAGCTTCTGATTTGGATTACCAGAAGCTGGGGCAACTCTAAATTTTGTTTGGATTATGGAATAACAATAGTATGCTTTATAATACCGCAATCTAATCAGCCACTACAAACAAACAGCGCATCGTTTCCTGCTGCATCTTTTGGCCCATAACAGCAGGGTAACATACCGTAACATACCGTAATCGTAGTAATATATAATCACTGGCAACAAACTTCAGCACATGGTAGCAAAGTATCCTGCCTCGTGTCCAGAGAGCTGTACACGAGTCGGCCTAGCCTGGTACCAGCCATCCTTGACTCTCTGCTGCACCTCAACTTGAGCGAGTCTAACTTGGCTGCGGTGCACCACAGCGTCCTTAACAACCTGCATGCTACCGAGCCTCAGCACTTGCCCTGCGTCGTCAAGTTCATCCTGCACTTCACTCCGCAAACATCATCTTATCAGGTCACTTCTTGGGCACAAATCATCGATATAATTTGATCAAAGTGTGTTCAAATAATAAAGAAAGGTTTGTACTTCTCAGCTTAATCGCTAAAAAATTAAAGAGCAAAATGAATTCTCGGTGAATTCTAAGTTTCTTTCTTGTCTGTAAAAGAATGTGCCTCTAAGTACTAGCAATGACGACCTGCGAACTGTTCGTGTTATGATCAGGCCCTCTGTATTGCAGAACCATCTATATTATGTGATCTGACAAGTGATTGTAGCTTGCAGCAATTATTTCATTGCGTATCGTTGTATTTGCCCCAACAGGTGTTGCGAGACGTGCGGGAGAAGCTCCACCTGCCCAAGGAAGAGGATGTAGGAGGTGGCACCAGCAGCGAGGGCCCCAGCAGCGAGGGCCCCAGCAGCCGCCCCAGCAGCAGCTCCGAGAACGCCGGCATCGCCGTCCTCGTCTGCTCCGCCATCAAGATGGCGCTGCTGCTCAAGAAGTTCCTTGTCAACTCTTGGCTCAAGGTAAGGGCATGTTTTCATTCATTCTCGTGTCGGAAATGCCCTACTTCACTCCTATTACTCATATTTAATATACCTATGTTTTTCATATTGAATATCTTTTTTTTAATTGAATATCTAATTTATATTGAATATATATATTTTTACTTTTTTTAAAGGAATCTCTGTGAAACAAAACGACGTTTGAATAGATCTGACAAACCTGATTACATTTCGTGTAGCTAAACTGTCTACATCTCTACCAAGTGATGTGATAAATACTGAATGCTTGTCAAAGCACAAGTATATAGTGCAATATTTGCGACCTCATTACAATGTTTTCAATGATGCCAGGTGATCGACGACGTGGAGTGCGACAAGATGCGTGCAGAGGACGTGCTGCTGCTGGTGGTGATGCACGACGCGTTCACCGCACGGCGCCGCCCCATACACTCCATCCTCAGGAACAAGATACGCACAGGGCTGCAGTACGACGCTCTCCTACAGGCCGCCCTCGCGTGCCATCCTGCCGTGAGTCATCGTTAACCGGTCTCTGTCTCATCAGTTATTTAACTATGATCAGTTATTCAGATCAATCACTTATATAGAGCTATTGCGTATACCTAATTTTTATATCAAGAATTATTCTCAAATTTCACTATATCAACTTTGTTTTATCTGCCGCCTCATTGCTTTATATGTGCGACCTCAATTTTTATTTTGTATTTTTGCATTACTATTGCCTTGCTGCCTCTGCTAACTGTCATGTCACTGGTGCAGGTGAAGCAGGAGTACTTCGACAGCATCAAGAAACTGGCCGGGGTTATGATCCGTTCTCCTGAGCCTGCCTGCTCGCAGTTCGGCGTCACCCTCTACAGGTGCTCACAAACTTTTGTATTTCAAAATTCGTACATTCTGTTAATAATCAATCCAAAAATGTCAGAATTTTAATCTACGCAAACAATAAAGACGAAGGAATGAATCATTGTAGTGCAATAAAACACTTCCAGATTAAAATTCTAGTGTTTTTAGCGCATGTTCTCATTTATGGAAAAAAGGCGCTATTGTGCTCGTCATGTCCATCCGTTCGTTCGTATGTCTGTCCGTCCGTCCGTCCGTCCGTCCGTGATTTCACGTTTTCGTCGACGAGAAAATGCGCTCTCTGTCACTCACTGCAGTGAGTACTGAGTTATATTTTTTATATAAATAAGTGAAAATTTCTGTCAGGATTTCGTTCGAGACGAGCGCGAGGAGCGCGTCGCTGCAGCAGGAGGTGGTGATGGCTCTCCTGGCCCACATGGGCGACGATCAACACGTGCGCCTCAACAGCCTCAGGCTGCTGGCCTCCCTCAGCCACAGCCATACGCTACATATGGCTCGCTTTGCCATCCATCTCAAGGTCTTGTCTCAATATCATTCTTACTCATGTCACAAACTCTGCTGGCCTCTCTCAGCTACAGCCATACGCTACATATGGCTCGCTTTGCCATCCATCTCAAGGTCTTGTCTCAATATCATTCTTACTCATGTCACAAACTCTTCTGGCCTCCCTCAGCTACAGCCATACGCTACATATGGCTCGCTTTGCCATCCATCTCAAGGTCTTGTCAAAATATCATTCTTACTCAAGTCACAAACTCTTCACGAAATCATCAACTTTGAAAAAATATTATTCGTTGATATCATTTTAATTGTATTTCATTTTTGTATGCAATAATCTGTACTTGAATCATATTTTTGTTGAATTCTATGGGTTTTTTCTGAAACATCTGTTCTAATATAACGAATACCGTAATAGGTAATAATAGCTAAAAGCCCTGCGTGAATGTTTTCTTCTTGTGCAGAGTTATTTACGTAAATAATAATAGATTATAAGACGTGCTTCATTGTTTGCTTCTTGTGCAGAGTTCGTTGGAGCAGCTGGAGCGACTGAGCCTGCAGGAGAGCAGGTGTCTCCTAGACGCCGTGTGCGCGGTGGCTGAGAGCGACAACACCACCGCACTGCACGCTGAGCTCGCCATACACACGCGCAAGATGCTTAACCATCCTGATGTCAGGTGACTTACAGCTGCACGTCAGGTGACTTACAGCCTGTCTCTTATACACATCTAGATGTGTATAAGAGACAGGCACGTCAGGTGACTTACAGCTGCACGTCAGGTGACTTACAGCTGCACGTCAGGTGACTTACAGCTGCACCTCGGGTGACTCACAGCTGCACGTCAAGTGATTCAATTAACTACACTCGGGACTTCTCTCCTCTCTCATGCATTATGCATCATAACTTATCTTGTCCCTCACACATTATGTATCATAACTTCTCTTATTCTGTTGTTTTTTATCCAATTTGTTTTATATTATTCTCTAATCTTTAGGGTGGGATTTGATGTTGAGGCGAATTTGAAATGTTACTATGGGCAATTATATATTGGTGTCGGTGTTGCCGTGTGTGAAGTGAGCTCTGTTGCTGGAGTGTCTTTCTGGGGCATGTGTTATTTTATTGTAAATGTGCTGGGAGCCTGGGACTTGCTTTGAGGTGTTATGTGATTTTTCCTTCAATTGTGGTGTAATATACCATAATTGTACTGTATTATACCTGAATTTTTTTGTAATATACCTGAATTGTGGTGTAATATGCCTGAATTGTGGTGTAATATACCTGAATTGTGGTGTATTATACCGGAATTTTTGTGTAATATACTTGAATTGTGGTGTAATATACCTGAATTGTGGTGAAATATACCTGAATTGTGGTGAAATATACCTGAATTGTCGTGTAATATGTCTGAATTGTGATGTGATTTATCGTCAAATTTGGAATGGTTAAAGCTAAAATATTGTGTAATTTAACCTTGAATGTAATGTGAATTTTCCTCATGTGTGATGCTTGTCCTAAAATATGGTTGAAATTGGGCAAGCAAAATATTGCCTGGCGATGAAGGCACAACGTGTCCCTAAAGTATTTTTTCCTACCAGGTACAAGCGGCTCGGTGTGCTGAGCGCCGTACTCACCTTGAAGAACTCGCACGAGTCTTCAGCAACTCAGGACTCGGGTGGGTCTGGCCTGAGCGCTGGTGGGGAGGATATTCTGGAGGTGGTGCGAGTGTGTACTGCTTCCTGCCCGCCTGCCTCCGCCCTCTTCATGGACGAGCTGGCCTCCACCATCCTCAGGGATGGCATCAACCCTAAGCTCGAGGTGGCTAGATAATGAGATAATCTTCAACCGCTTCTAACTTGAGCCACGTTTGTTATTCGACGTACTAATTTACGCAAAGCTTATGGTCCGTAAACACAATTGTCCGCATCAAGACGGATGAAATTCATTCATTAGATGAGTTTCAGTTACGATGAGGCTGTTAAATTACTCGATGGATGCATGAATATCTGCTTTATAATTAAGTGCGGCTTTCATTATGAACAGTGTATCATTGAGCTCGTCTGTTCGTGCTATTTCACTTTTTAAAATTCTCAATATATAATGCTATACTGTATAGTTGTTGAATTATTTAAGCAAATGTTTGCAAACATCTTTTTATTAAACTGTTATTTCTTCCAACTACAATCACCGCAAATTCTTTCTTCCCACTCGATTCCTTTTATCTTTTATTCTACATTTAGACTATACCCATCGATGTTGTGAATGAAATTTCTGGCGTAGTGAATAACTTCATGATTGTGATGGAAGCAACAACCAATCGGTGTTGTTTTCCTGATAAGTTTAATAAACGTGATGGTTTTGACACAGCGCTGGCTGAGTGGGAAGCTGGAAGAGAGTTTTGAGAATGTCTTCGTGGTGGATTTAGATCCCAAAACTCCACAGAAAGAGACCTCGCACATGCATCTGCCCGTTCAGCTTGCATTCGATTTAGAAGGTAATTTTTCCTCCGTAAAGTTGATCATAAAATTCAGCATTTTTTCGTGGCATTTGCTCGTGATTCCTCTGCAAATTTGTTGTGTGTTGTTGCTCTAATTGTGTCTTATGCAATAACTACTTGATTCAAGCATAGAAATTTGTCCTTGACTTTCGAGTTGAAAATAATGTTGGCATTACACGGAAAATATGTTGCCCTAGATTTTGATTTATTTAGACGGTACACCCGCATCACACTATGCTTCTCAACTTTTTCAAAGCTGACTAATGTCGACTGGTGTTGTGTGTGTTCTGTTGGCAAGAACCGTCCACGACTATTCGTGTATGTAACCCTCTTGTAAATACGGTGTAAGCCCGTATTTTTTACCCGTATACGTAGTCCTAAGGCCTAAGAACACGTCGAGGCCCATTTCTCGCCTGTAATTAGTGGGTTAGCTTGAAAAATCGTCAGTGACTGCCTGACGGAGTTACGAACTCGTAACTATTTTCGATAACATAGCCTCTGAGATATTTAATGTCCAGTCTTTATTGTGCCCATCAGTGGAGGAGCAAGCGGCGATTGTGCTCAACTTAGCGACGCTCGTGGAGCAGCTCGAGCTGCACCGCCGGCAGGAGAAGACCAGCAAATCTGCACGCACCTCAGATCTCGGCAGCACCGACGCCCAGCTCCAGTGAGAATCCCTGCTTTATTAACTGCTGTAGCTGTGATATAAGTAACTTGGTAAGGTAACGAAGTACTATGGGGGATTTGAATAGAATTATAATTGGTGTTTGTATTCAGGATTTGAGTTAAATTTGCTTTTAGCCTGCATAAATTTTTCTATGGGTGATAAGAGAATTTTTTGGCTGCTATTTACTTATTGTTCATGATTCAGTTCCAAATATTTAAACAAAAAACTGGCCACCAGAACGATAATATTGACGCTGGCGCCACACTTCCGCCTGCTGCGGATGTTGGTGTGCCATCTGAACGCGGGCGACTTGACCGCCATCGACGGGCTGCTGGGCTGTCCTCTCTACTACCCTCACTCTGACCTCCTCGTCACTGAAGCTTTCGTCAAGCTTCCGCCAGAGCAGCAAACACTTGTTATCTCCTGCCTGTTCTTTGCGTCCAACTGGTTCAGGGAACTCGTCAACGCGTTCGTCACTCAGAAGGCGCCTGAACTCAAACGGAAGGTGATTGTGGAGCCTGGTTATTAATGCACAAAGAAAGTTCATTATTCAATTGCTCCGAATAGGAGTTTTAGAAATTATACTGTTTGCATGTCACTCGTGTATCTAAGAAAATGTCGTGAACGATATTAGTCAGGAACGATATTAATGGATGTTTTGAGACTCAAGCGTGAATGATATCTTTTGAACAGGTGTACGCGAGGCTGCGTAACCTACTCGAAGTGGAACAAACGTTAAGTAAGTTGCTGCCGCTGTGCCCCAGCTATGAGCCTCACTTGGTGGCCTCTCATGTAGACCCAAACACGTCCATTACTCTACCCTCGGCTGCCGGTGCCGGCACGGGAGCTCCGAAGAAGAAGGGCAGGAAACCCAAAGCAAAGTGCGTATAAATATTTATTAATTATCAAAAAATGCATTTAATTGTCAAAACACTCATGCTGTTGAATTAAAAATTACAACACTTAATTTTAATTAATTGAACCTAATTTAGTAAAAAATACCATATCTCTACCTGCCCACACAGTAAGAAGGTAAAGCAAGACGCTGCATCTACCACAGCGCCTCTGACCCAGGCCTCACAAATGCCTGCTTCTATCCTCCCCTCCCAACCTCCGACATCACAGCCGCCAGACACACAGCCCCAGGTCGACAAACCTTTGGTAAAGCCCGCAGTTATTCTATTAAAATACTCTACATCTAAAAATATTCTAAATTAGCACACATTGACGTTTATTAGCAAGTCTAAATCAACCTTTGTTTCAGCGATCTGAGCGTATTGGCACCATTATCCGGATTGTGTGTGCAATTCGTGTACAAATATTTCTCGTTGTATCCTTAATGGTACTCCCAGATCAGACAAATTCTTTCTTTGACAAATTTCCGATGAAATCTTATTAATTGAACCCTACTTTTTCGCAGAGCTGCGACTTGAGCGCTTGTGCTCCATTCCTCCGTGAATTGCACCTTGATGTCTTCAGCCTGCTCTTCAAAACAATGTGTCTGGACCCAGATCTTCAGGTCTGTAACTCGTGTGTCTGGACCCAGATCTTCTTGTCGGTAACCCGAGTGTCTGGAACCAGATCTTCTTGTCGGTAACCCGTGTGTCTGAACCCAGATCTTCAGGTCTGTAACTCGTGTGTCTGGACCCAGATCTTCAGGTCTGTAACCCGTGTGTCTGGACCCTGATCTTCTTGTCGGTAACCCGTGTGTCTGGACCCTGTTCTTCTGGCCCCTAACACAAGAGCCTGACGCAGATTATCGTACCGGTAGTCAATGTGTCTGAACCCAGATCTTCAGAATTTTTACCCGAGTGTCTGGGTGAAGTTCTATAAGGCCCGTGTGACTATGCGCAGTTTCATAAAGCTGCTACATCGTTTTCTCTTAGATTATTTAAGATCTGTGCCAATAAATTGGTCTGAAATGCCCCCTACTTTGCGTTCTAAATTTTGCCTGTTTGAGTATATGAGTGCCTGTTGAAGAACGAGTTCTAGCTAATGTATATTGTTTAGTAGTTACACTGGTTTGGAATAGGTCACTACTATTGCGCGACCCTAGGCCTGTGTTGCACCTACGTGAATTGTTGCAATGTTTTTCCTCCTTTTGAAACGACTCCTCGAACGAAGCGACAGTAAAAACTGCCTCATCTGACGTGACCATCCTCAACGAGATGATTATGTAATTACTAATATATCACCGTCAAAGCCATTATACTTAACATATGGACAGAGCGGCGTCAGAATGTTGAGGCGTTCCCGACGCCCGAAAGAAGCCCCAACTCATCCTCACTGAATAAGATGAAATGATAACTTGAATTCAGAAAAGAAAGCATGAAATTGTGGAATAGTTATGTGCAAGATTAAATTGTAAAATAATTTAAATGGACCGAGTCGCTAGTCCTTGATGGCTCGAGAGTTACCGCCCGACAGACTTGATGATGGCTTAATGAAATTGACGATGATGCCTGCGGCGCGAAGTGAAGGAAGTTGTTATGAGGCGCTTGAAAAAACCTACCACGGCTTCAGTGGTACAGCGGGAATCGATGCTAATCTGTGTTTGAAGCGGTCAAGTTTAAACCAAATGGCTTTAAAGCGCTACAAAACTACGTTTAATAATAATGAAAATTGGAAGAGTAAAATGTTTACTCCGATCAGACTAACGCCAACCACCGCCAGACCTGAAAAACAGAATGGCGTTTGTTCATATAAGTCGCTTCTATTTCAGAATTTCCCCCAACATCTGAGCCGCAATTTTGCGTGAATTTTACGTCAATTGCTACTATGTCGAGGACCGTTTCGGTCAACTTTCTTGGCTCTATAGAAGCTATAATTTTTTGAACAATTAACTCTCTTCTCCCAAAATTAAATAGTTTTGAATGAAACTTTTTGATGTTTCAGGCGGCCGGCAACCAGCTGAGTGTGCTGGAGGCAGACTTCCTACTCACCGATCTCAACATGAAACTCGCGCACGTCTTCGGTGCAGACAAACGCTCTTCAGCACTCGGCAAGAGCACCGATAACAAAGGTTATATTTCACACCATGTATAGTTTATTATCAGTATGTTGTTGCGCATATACGTACCTGCAAAGGAATTTCTATTATTTGATTAAACGGAGTGTGGTCCAATCATTTTATACTTTTACTCTCGTTTATCATTATTCAGGTAATAGTTGAATATGAATTTCCATTCCCCATTATCCATGAGCTCAAAATCTTGCTTGTTGTGGGTTGTATTACGACGTTCGTTGAAGTCAGAGCGTCATCTTATTTGTATATTTTCAGAGGCTGGCTTCTGGCACCTGAACCTGTTCAGTGCGGAGGAGCTGGCAACGCAGACACAGCGATACGTCAAGCCCATCTGCGTCCATCTCGACAAAATCAACGCTTTCTTCTCCGTGTGTGATCGTTCTTTCAGATCTATATTTATGTGTGAATGTGTATAAAGTTGTGACATTTAAAGGAAACTATAATTTCATCACCTGCAACGCCCGTTTGAATTCTAGCTGATGAGTCTCGTTACATAAAACTTATCTAAAACGATAAGCCCAAACTTACATAGCTTTATCATTATAAATCATTATAAAATTGTGTCATTCTTCTGTATCACTTACTAAATCCATTTCGTGTTACCAGATACTAAAATCTTGACATAATATAACCAGGCTATATTTAGAGTATCGAATTAGCAAACCCTAATTGTAATATTTATTACAATTTATATTTAGAATTGTTATATTATAAATTTTTGTGTGACCAGTGACTAGCCTAGTGTTGGGATTATTGTCATCAGTATTGTGTAATTGTCCTGAAATATTATTATAAAACGATACTATTAAGAATGAGGATACTCTTATGAATGAGGATACTATTATGAATGAGGATACTATTAAGAATGAGGATACTATTAAGAATGAGGATACTACTATTAAGAATGAGGATACTATTATGAATGAGGATACTCTTATGAATGAGGATACTATTATGAATGAGGATACTATTATGAATGAGGATACTATTAAGAATGAGGATACTCTTATGAATGAGGATACTATTATGAATGAGGATACTCTTATGAACGAGGATACCATTAAGAATGAGGATACACTGGATAGTTCTGGATACACTGTAACCTTGTATGTGCAGAGCCTGATCGCGGACCACGACGGAGTGCTGGACTGCTCAGGCGTGCTCAACGACCGCACGCTGCCCATCGCCCGCGTCCAGGGGCTGCTGCTGACGTCCCTGCAGCTGCTGCTCGCCTGGCCGCAGCTACCTCGACATGAACTGCTCTGCAGTTGTGAGTTTTCATTGATGGTTTTATAATCATTTATTTCTCTCCAGTTTCAATTATCCTAGAATTACATTATAGTAAATGACTGTTTTAGTTACAAATCTAAAGTGAGTGATAGCCTGCTACATTTCTCGTGTTCTCGGTATTGTAATAAGAGTGCATTTGAATGAACCCTCTGTTGGCTTCGTAAACGACGCGAAGCGGCCATTTTGCAGCGGACGACGTCTGCATACTAAAACAATGAATAATTATAAATCAAATTTAATTGTCCCAAGTCATCATGGTTAGTATTATTAGTATGTTAAATAAAATAAATAGATGCCTTGACTGCGTAATGAATGTTTAAGCCTGCACGTAACCAACATTGCGCTGCGTCACCAGACATGCTGCGCGTGATCTGCCGCAAGACGTGGCCTGAGCGCAGCGTCGAGGACGTGCAAGCTTTGCCAACGGAACACCTTCTCTGGGGCGTCTTCTGTTATGCGAGACGTCAAATACACGCCTTGTTGGAGGTAATGTCGCTTTCATTATGTTCATTGTAAATGAATAATCTTAATGCTTTACCTTGCTCAAATTCTGTTAAATTTTAACTCCACTATAATAGTACAGAGTATAGGAGCATAGAAATTTGCATTATCATTCTTTGCTAGGGGCAATATTTAATGCGGTGCATGAATACCAATACTCAAAATTATGTCAATTGTGATAGAAATTTGATTTGTGTGATTTGCAGTTTTTTTGGTATCTTGAAAGTGATTGAAACTTGGAAGTATCTTACAATTAAATACAAGAACGTTTTTCTTAGCTTGGAAGTGCGGTGCTGCTCGTACGGCTCCTCGAAGTCATCGTGTCACTGGCCAGGAAACTCGGCTTCGAGTCTGTCCCTGAGGAGAGGCAGCAGGAGTCCGAGGACGTGGCGAGCAACGCTGACACGTCAAGTGATAGTCGTCTAGTAGCTTCCTTTTATGGACATAAACTCGGTTAGTAATATTTTCTGGCATTACCATAAAACGTCAAATGTTCGATGGTATTGCATAGTACTGCCGGCAATACGTTAGAATGTATTTTTTCTAGTATTCGGAATATGTTTGCGAGCTTTGATCTCGAGCGAATTCTGCAATCGATCAGCCAATTTAACAATTCGATTAAAGTCACACGTTTTTAATTTACTGTTAGTAACGTAGTGGGTGTAATATGACCTAATTTGCGATTGTCAGTTACAGGAAACTTTTCCGGCAAATAAATTGAAATTATGATAACTTCCATGCAGGCGAGGTGGTGTGCACGCTGCTGCAGCGCAACTGGACCACTGCGGCCGATGGGTTACCTGACAAGGGCCCGCTCTTCAACCAACGTGTTGCTCACTTGCTGCAGGTGATGCTTAGTATTAACCTGTGAAAAAGATACCACTGATCTAAGCATATGCCTCAGACCTTACCTTTTTATGCCTTAGGTTGTCATTCTGCAAAAGTTTCATTAAATTTCCTCAGTGTTGGTTCCGTACGAATCCGCGTCCTCTGAAAGTCATCCAACAAATCACAGTGAGCGGCATCGATGAATACATGAGCTCCAGCAACAGCAACCCTTCTTCTGAAGCATTTCCTACGCTCAACAAGTGAGACCACAAATGTTTCTTGATAAATCAGTATCAAATTTAGTACAATGTGAATAATTCGGCTGAAAAACAAACGTCACAGAGAGCCCATAATGTGAAATAGTAAAGAATTTTTTTTATTCACCTGCAGGTCCTGCAATTTAACCTGCAATTTTTTCAATGCAACATAAATTAATTACATCTTATCGCTTTTTCAAATGAAATCATGAAATAAGCTAACGAATTGTTTGCAGAAATTGAATAAAAGTTCACAGCGAAGTAACAAATAACTTTCAGATCAATTCGTTTTCGTTCCATTCTTATCAAATATTTTATTTCGCTTTATCATTCTCAATGACAGGCATATGCTGGTGATCTACTTGAGCTGCCTCTTGAGCAACCTCAGCCCCAGCGTCAAGAAAGCTTTGGCTGTGATTGATACCTCCAGCCTATCTGACGATTTGTCCACCCAAGAAGTAAGTGAAAAGTTTTTCATTTCAATTTCCACTCCAGATGTATAGGCTCAGCTTCGAGTTACCTGCTCTAGAGCTATTGGTGGCGTTTTTTCTTGTTGTAGTGATGCATAATGAAAAGTTTTCAATTTAATTATATGACGAGTTTTTCCTTTAGTTTCTAGCCTTGATCAGGAATCAGTTATTCTGTTATTATCCGAGATAATTTTATTAATTTCCTCTTAAATTTATGTGGAATAATGATTTAGGTTTGACCGGTTCGAATATATCGCTCCAACCTTTGATGATTTGTTATCAAAACAACTACTGTCTTGTCCACTGCCAAATTGCTTCATTGCTTATAGAAAAAAGTTTGTAAGCAATCAATTAGAAATTTATACAATGGGTGGAAGATGATGCAATATGATTGGAGGAGATGATGCAGCAACTTACGCCGTGCCAACATATGTTTTATTCGTTCCTCAGGAAATTAGAAGTGCAATGTTATGTCATTTGTGCTGCAGGAGAGCGTGCGTAGCCTGGCAGTTTGGTCGTCAGCAGTGGAGGTTTATACGAAGCTGATTCGTGTCGTGAAAAAACACCACTCACGTAGTCTACTTAGTGCGTGTCTCAAGGTGATTACATGCATTTCTATTAGTTTTCAATTTAACGATTTATATATGTTCCATACTGTCCTTAGACATCACAATAGTCTATAAGAATTTTTAATTTGGCTTTTATCTCCAAACTGTCGTTTTCTTTTGCTAAAAGGACCACTTGCCTTAAAAATGATTTGATTTTTTTTTTTTTGCTCAGATTTATATTTCGATTAATTTTTTTCAACTTTGTTCATTCCTCAAATGTTTGTCTATGCAGTTTGCTCGACCGTTCCTTGAACTCTTCCTAAGCCTCGGAATGCCTTTGATGGATTCCTCTCTAAAAGATCATAAAGATGATGTCTGCCAACTCCTCAAGACACTTCAGTCAGCTACCAGAATTTTACAGATTATCTGTACTGAGTCCAAGGTAAGATATTTCATCAGCTAGAAAGACGATGATTGACATATCCCAAGAATGTACTGTATACAGAGCGAGTGAATTGGAAACTTTTTCTCAAGTTGTGAATATCTTTGTGATTTCTACAGGTGAAAAAAGACGTGAGCTTGACATCGTATGTTCCTCTCATCCGTCGTTCTCTCGCAACGCTAGTTTTCCGTGTGAAAGCCATGCTGGTGCACCATAACTGTTCTAGAGCCTTCTGGCTCGGCGTTCTCAAGAACAGAAATCTCGATGGTGATATAATTGCTACACAGGTATGTCATTCAAACCTGAATAAAAAAAAAATAAAATATCACTATTAATATTTGTGGAAAATATCATTTCTTGTGACGAAAAGGCACGAATGTATTTTTTTCTGAAGTTCAGCGACTAAATTTAGTTTTGCTACAAACGTTTACTAACGAATGCATTGTTTGTTGCACTGAGTTATAAGTTTTCCTCTTGTTCTTTTTTAGGCAGGTGACACCGTGCCGGCAGAGAGGGAAGGACGGGGCACTTCTACCCCCACTGATGATAGTAGCCTTCATCAAGAGGAGGGTGAAGCTGAACACGAGACAGACTCCCCTGAAGACGTCGAGTTAGACGAGTTGTCGGATATTGAGCTTGAAGATGATAATTCGTCGGAAGATAGGAACGCAAAAGGGAGAAAAAAGAGGAAGAATGTTGCAGAAAGTGACGATGATGAAGAGGAACAGGAAGAAGATGAAGAGGAAACTCCAACAGTGGATGGTGCCACAGACTACAGCACCAGCTTCTGATGATATCTATATCAAACTCCTAAATAAACAAAAATGATTTAAGGAAAAATTTTTTAATCTATGATATACTTTTCACGTTTTTTTTCAATTTCTGAAATTTTATTATTTTTTCGTTTCCGAGAACGAATTTGAAGAAGGACTGATCTTCAGAGGAATATTTTCATTATCTTGAAGGCAACTCACAAATATTTTTCATTCAATTTCTAGCATTACATGTTAATAATATCTAAATTTGGACAAGCATTCCATTTATTATTTTCATTTAAAATTTTTTTATATATAATGCTTTCAATTGCGTCAAAATGCGGAGCTGGTTTGTTGCATTTGCTCCGGAAATCAGATCCGAACTTTATTGCAGTTACAAACTTATAGGTAACTACTCAGTTAACTGGTATCAAGCTGTGGAATTCTTGACGGGTATTGGGAAATGTCCTGCGAAATCTACATTCTACAGCTCATCAATATTCAAAGTTAATTTTTTCCGTAGAAATGCCACTATTCCCTGCTTATTCATCTGTTCTTCCTGAAACTCAAAATTCATTTACCTTGCTGGATGGTGAGTTACTAACGTTGGTAATGGTAGATGCTCAGCTTGTCACTTGTGCTCCCTCTCCTCTTTCCTTTGAAAAATTGAAGTTGTTTTAGGATTACAGACAGTGAGCGAGGGCTGCACTTTATTTGTTGCCCTCAACACTGTCAACAGTGTACCTAATCTCATGGAAATATATAATGCTGCACCAAAATTTATTTATTTGCATCCAAGCCAAGAATTCTACTGATTAAATCTAGCTTAATCAACTTTGTTTACTACTGTCAAATGGGGCAATAACTGAATAAGGGATGCATGGGGTAAATTGTGATTTGTGACAGTCCTCCAAGGCTCCAACATCTCATAGACATGTTGTCTGATGTTGACATTGTAGCAACTAAACTAATTAGAATATTGAAAAACTTGAAATAGTGGCCTAAACTGAAGTTCAACATTTTTCTTATCTAGCTTATGTAGGCTGTAGCATAAAGCAATATTCAAAATCACACATTTACTACCTCTAAAAAATCCCTGAAAAAAGTGTGAAAAGTGAGATTTTGGAAGAGTACCTCTGCTCTGCTAAGATCTGTAGTAAAAAAAATATTGCCCTAGGCCAGCTAGGTCATAGGTGGCTAGGCCCGTATTAAAAAATGTTACTTGCAAAGTTGCAAAAGAGTTGTACTGTTGTACACACTAACACAGCCCACAGCCACAGGTGCTAACTTGAAAACATGATGGTAGACTGAATTGGCATTGGTGTCACTTAGGGTAAACGCGGTATATTCCGACACTTTAAGGACGCATCGAGAAATGAAAAACTATAAAAAAAAAGCCCGTATGGGTTACGTAAGTTCTGTTGCCTTCACATGACTCTCAAAACACTTCACTACGCGTCAGCAACAATGAAACGTCACAAAATGTTGCCATATTTATTAAAAAGCCTTTAGAATGGAAACCTACCAAATCCCTATATTCCGTCATTTTGTGTGGCAACATCCGACATGTGGTGAGTCGTATTGCGTCAGTGCTTCAAATTTAACTGATACGTATTGCCGACATCCACGTGTTCGAATTCCGTTTGCTGTGTGAGCTGTATTGGGATACAACACGGCTTTGAATTTGAACACTAACGAATATTGAACACTACTTAATTACTAAAGTCTCAAACCATAATATTCTTCCTATAAAAACAGTTATTCACTATTTGGTAGAGCCATGTCAACTGTCAAATTTGACACATTTTTCGATGATCTCACCACGTGGCATGCATTGTCTCTCTTTGGATCTCAATATTTTCCTGCTAGATGGCCAAGACCTAGTGTTTTTGCAGTATTTTGACACGCAAATGTATGACGTCACCATTTCAACCGTCAATGAATGCATGGAACTAAAACAAAGCTTAATATAAAGGAAAAACTAGAGAAGTGACGGAATTACCTAGGATGTCGGAATATACCGCGTTTACCCTATTCCAAAAAATGATGCCAATCATGCCATTTCCACACAACAGGGGAATTCCATTTTCCAGGGGAATTCCAGGGCAAAAACTAATAATTTTGATTGCATTTACCTTGCTCAGCATAAAAAATTTTACTTTATGAAAAATTAATGCATCAGTTATCATAAAATGGTATATAAAATTTCATAGGGTAAACGCGGTATATCCCGACATCGTGGGTAATTCCAACACTTCTCAACTTTTTTTTCTTTATATTAAGCTGTGTGCAAAAATTCTGTGCACTCAGAATTCTTTATATTTCTGTGTGCACACAGCTCGTTCTGAGCTGTGTGCATTGTGCAAAAATTAAAATTTTCTTAATTAAAAGCTTAATAGCTCTTAATTTAAAGCCTAATTAAGTAGTGTTTACTGTTCAATATTCAATAGTGTTCTAATTCTGAGCTGTGTTGTATTCCAATACAGCTCACACAGCAATCAGAATTTGAACACAAGAGGGTCGGATTTACAAATAAGTAGAGTTTGAAGCGCGGCCTGAATTAGTCTCAAAAAATGCAGAATTTAGTCACACACAGCATTGGAATATATGGATTTGGTAGGTTTGCATTCTAAAGGCTTTTAAATAAATATGGCAACAGTTTGTGACGTTTCATTGTTGCTGGCACGTAGTGTGGTGTTTTGACAGTGACGTAAAGCAAACAGAACTCGAGTTGCGCAAACGGTGATTTTTTTAAAGCCATTCATTTTTTGCTATGTCTTTAATGTGTCGGAACATACCGCGTTTACCCTAGATAGAATTGTGCACCAGCCTACCAGGCAACATAGAATGAAAATTAATTAGCCTAAACTATTATTTATTTTTCCAAAATATATTATGGTTGTCACTGAAATATTCCTTTCTGTTTCAGGTATGATTTTTATGATCTATTTTTTTTTTTTTTTGTTATAGTGAATTCACTTGACCCAATTAAAATGGTGTGAAATTACAATGCGTCCTGTAAGCTTGCAGATGCAGAATAAATGCTATACAGCTACTGATATGAAGCTTGCAGTGGAGGCTGCTAATATGAAGCTAGCAAGGTTGTTGTCGATGCTTAAAGGCATGTCCATGTATACTCACTATACCGTAATATCTGATCAATAATACAGTAATGAATGGATATGGTAATATCAAATCAATAAAGGAAAAACAAGTAAAAATCAAAGAAAATTACATTTATTCCACTCCTACAAAGGAACAGAAGGACTTCAGAGTACTGTTAGTAATGGATGAGTACACTCTGCATGCTTCAAACGTTTTAAAACTAAGTTTTATTTCTAGTGTCCTGGATTAGCCCATTCCCAGAGGTAATTCAGGATGCTTTTATTTGCATCTAGCACCTTACAAATAGCCTATGGAATTTTGTGGAGATGCCATATAATAGCTCTTGCTAAGACCTTTAAAATGAGCCCAATATTGTTTATGAAATGTTTCATGGTAAGAAGTTATTAATGAAAAATGCTCAAAGCCATCTCCTATTGCCCTGTTTGAGGGTATCCATTCCAAATTTCCTAGGGCAAAGGAAGGGTAATTTTGAATGGGTAATGCAAAGGCTGTGCAGTTGAACTTCAGGATTGGCAGGCCCAGATGGCTGGTGCAGTAATGGGACAATACTAAGACTGTAATTAAAATTTTTGACATCTGTTTTAAGTTTCAAATGATTATGTCATATGGCATTGAAGGAGTGAGTACCGTATGACTTTTTCTCAAATTATTAAACACAGCCTTTCAATTTTTCAAACTTGAATTTTTGGACCAAAACACTGGCATATATAGATTGAAAGTAATACATAAACCACCATTTTTAGAATTCCATTGTGATTCAAGGGATGTTTTAATCCATGGAATTGAATATGGAATAACATCATAATTTAATAAAGACTTATATCCTAAAGAAGTTTCCTAAAATTGCTGGTAAAAATAATTGTTTCATTGGTGATTGTCAAAAATTGCAGGTGAAAATAGGCTGTTTCATTTTTTTAATTTTCACTGGTAAAATTGAGAAAAGCCGTAAAAATGGCCAAAGACAAACCTGGTCAAATTGACAGACATTTTTGCTGATTTGCAGGTGGCTTCTGCCCAATTTTCGACTTGAGCGATTGTCCAAGTGGAAGAAATGTGATACAGATGGATTTGTATGCCATATAACAAACTTTACTGGTTGCTTAGGCCTCAAAAATTGCATCTTATTATGCAAGATGAATAAAATAATTAATTGAAATTTAATTCCACAGCACAATCTGGAACGCAATCAGGATAAAATTCCAAGCACAAAGCAAAAAGTTGCATCAGCTAAATGCCAGATGTAACAACAGCAGTTGCTACTGTACTGGGGTCGAGTAACTTCTGTATGCATAATATTACTTGAGAAACAAATAATACTATATAATGTGAACACAATAGTGGGAAAATCAGTTCAATGTTGTAGCCACTAAACTTAAATCAATGCTTATCTGCTACTATTGATCAACAAACAATTTATCAATAAAATATTTTTTCAGTCTTAAATACCATAAAACGGGGTAACTTAGACCACTTTTTTTTTATATGTGATGCCATTTTTTTACTAGCTAAATTAATCTTGAATTGAAACATGCAAAATACAGGTCTATACTCTAGCTTCACTCACCATAAATTGCTGGCTCCTGCCTCTCATAGTCTTTATGTAATTTCAAAAAGTGATGGTCTTTGTTACCCCAGCTCTTGGGGTATCTTAGACCGGGTGGTAAAATCAATTATATTTTTTGGTAAAATAACTCCAAATAACTCCAGGTTTTGGTGCATTGTAGTAGAACTCTTCTAGTTACATATGCAAATGACAAACTTGAGGAAAGTGTCATAGTTTGCAAATGGGGGGTGCCGCCCCATAATGAGGGAAATGTGACTATCTAATGGCAGCCCTGATGGGGTATTATTGACTGGCTTGGAAATTAAATTAAAATTACCATATATAAGACTCTGTAGAGTATAAAACATAAAGAAAAAACATAAATAGGCTGTCAAACATAAAATATGTTATATATGGTAATTTTATATTAACTTCCCAGCCAGTCTATGTTACCCCGTCAGGGCTGACATTAGGTGGTCTAAGTTCCCCCATTTGGGGGCAGCACCCCCATTTGCAAACTATGACACATTCCTAAAATTTGTCATTTGCATATGTAACTAGAAGAGTTCTACTACAAGTCTACAATGCATCAAAACCTGGAGTTATTAAACCAAAACATAAAAAAATTGGAGGGGGTTCTCTGGCAGGCTTTAAATAATAGCTTTTTTTTTTTGTGGGTCACATTTTTAATTTTTTAACCTATTAGATATGCAAACTTTTTAAATCTTTCTATTGTGTTATGTAGCCTCAGTACGGTATTAGGCTTTTAATGCCCATTGACAAAATTTTTCTATGTCAAATATTTTTTGAGTTTTGGGGGTTTTTGTTTAAAAAATAAAAAGTGGTCTAAGTTATCCCGCCGGTCTAAGTTACCCCATTTTACGGTACTCAAGTGTTTTCAGTCTTAGATACTCAAGTGTTTTGTCCATAGCAAATAGGTTGCCTTAGTCTGAAGGGACATAAATTCCACTTTTTTATGCATTTTGTTCCTGAACAGTTTTCATCAAGTTGATTATTGTCATCATTATTGGTGCCATTATGGCTCTATAGTCTGAGTGTATTACTATGTGTCTATATTCAAGTATTACCAAGTAATTAAATAAGTACCTATACAGTATACTAAATGTACCAATATGTAGTAGATGTACCAAACTATATTAAATTATGTATCATCAGCCGTGTTCATTAGTCAAGGAAGTTGCATACTAGATTTTATTTCTCAGAGTGCACTGCAGAGTTCAATATTATTATAATTCATTTATTATTTTGTGCATTCTGTGGAATTAGGGGTAATTTTTCGTGGCCTGTGGAGCTTGTTAACTGGTATACAAATTCATCTGTTATTGCATTTCTTTCACTTAGGTTTGCAGGTATTAAAAATTGCAGGCAGAAATGGGCTATTTTTCTTGTTTTTCACTGAAGAAATGGAAATGCTAAAGTATATATGTAGTGAAATTGTCTGTCATCATGGGCATTTTTGTCTCCTTCACTAGCTTCTGCCCGTTGTCCCAGATTGGCTCCCACATACAACATGTACAACATGCTCAGTTGCTCCCAGTAGTTGCCTCTTCTAATGCAGAAATTCAAGCAGATCCATCAGTTTATACTATTGAGCAAAGTTAAGCTACTGAAATGATTTGAATATTATTGGATTTTCATATAAGAAAAATGCCCATATTTTGAACTTACAATGTCAGAGACAAATATTACAAATCTATGAATTTACCATGTAAAACAATTTATTGATATGGCATCTAGCAGAAGTAAACCACGACAGCTTGAAATATTTAAGATTATTCATTAGGCAGCGCATCAGCATGACCGTGGACTACAACATCCTAAACTCATCACAAGATTAATACAGACAAAAATGAATTCACTAGGATAACTTGTATGTGTCAAAGTTTATAGTGACACTGTTCGTGTATGCCACTGTCCAAGTTTATGGTTCTGTCAAAGGTTGGCAGTCATAACCTTGAAAGGATCTGTCTGATCTAGTAAATCAATTAGTTAAAACCTGAGGGGTTTTGGTTCGTTAATAATTTGTCTGAATAACATATTAAATATTCATTGGCCAGGGAAGGATAATAACAAGACGTGTAACTAAGCGTAAGTATTGAAGATAGGTTCATGGGATACACTAGATAGAATTTACAGGATCAAAGCACAGTATGTGCAGTAATTTTTGAGATGGAGTATAACGACACTGCGTGTTGGTTGCGACTTGCGAGTGCTGGAGTCTTAGACGACGTGAGCTTGTCTAGAGATTGCAGGCTCTACGATGACTCCCTAGTGCCTAAGACTGACTGGCAGTACACTCTCACAGAAGGTAACGTAATAGTCACTAATGACATCACAGCCTGACAGTATGTCCATGTCACATTTGTTTTGAGACCTCAACTCTCATGTATCAGGCAGTTATTTTCTATTACCAGCTGATAGATTTGTAACTGTAAGTCAGGGTACTTTGTTGTTCCAAGTAGGACAGGAGAAACACATGGTAACTCTAGTTCTATTATAATAAACGGACGCGGTGAGTAGAGAAAGAAGGGGATTGACAATGACAAGTATAGCACAAGTATGTGCTGGAGGAGCAGACTAACAAGAAATGGCTTGGCAGTACCGCTATGACTGGTGGGTGGTGCACTGACTGGGCTATATAAAGTCCTTAACGGGGATGACATCACTAAGAATAACTCTACCATGTAGGGGTACAGAACAAGCTAAGCTGATAACATATGATAACCTAGGTGATGGTTCTCATGATAATAGATCACCAGACACATGTTAATGAGGTCTACTGCTGAGGTGTAACCCTGCTGTCTTTGTTGTAAGGAAAACATTCCTTCAAGTGAATTTATGCAGGCGTTGTACACAACCAGTGGAGCATCATATTAATTATGAATCCTATAAGTGTTATCACAACTTGGCAGCTATATCTGTTGCATCCAATAAAACCTTGGTTGGTGTGGTGTACTTTATAGTTCATGATAATCATCCTGTGTTCTGTCGTGTTCAGGCCCTGAAGATTTCAAATACTTTTGAACAGCTTGTGGGGTAAGGAAAACCTATTGTCCACTTTCAAAGAGATACCTTCTTGATATATTTTATTTTAATTTTAAAATATCTCGTGCATTATGATATGCAGCGGTGGGCAGTAGTGCGCTACATGTAGCGGCCACTTCATTTTCAGTAGCCGTAGCGGGAGCGGCGCTGCCGCTACATTTAAGCAATTGTAGCGGTAGCTCCCGCTACATAGGTATTTAAATAGTGATACGAGGTTTTGCCGCTACCACTACATTTATAGATAAAGCCTTTAGATTTCACTTAATAGTATTAAATATTATTTTAAAACCAGCATGATACATACATAATATAAATTACAGAATAAAACTGTATGAAAGATTTCAGTGTAATGTTGTCAAACTCAGCCTGTTACTAGTGTCAACATATTAGTTGTTAACTTGTTACCAGCAGTGGGCAGTAGCGTGCTACATTTAGCGGCTGCTACATTTTCAGTAGCGGTAGCGGCGCTACATTTAAGCAATTGTAACACATCCGCTACATTTAGAGCATGTAGCAGTAGTGGTAGTGGCTGCTACATTTCAAAGTAGCACTGCCCAGCTCTGATGCTATGCCTCTGGTAACACCCGATCCTTCAACCATAGATCCATTAGGAACAAACAATGCAATTTCAATCGAAATGCCTGAAAACTAGAAACTCAGTGAGCAAATTATAAGCTGAAAATTTTGTCCATCAGTATGATTAACTTTATTTGTTTTCTTTTTCACAGCAGGTGCAATTCCCTTGCCACCCTTGCCTGCTGACAAGGCTTCCAATGGGGTTATGTCCAATGGCGTGCAACCAGACCAAAGACATGATAGCAATTCAGGACTTGCCAGTCCTCATGCCACTAATACTTCAGGTGATCCTCAACCTTTGTCTACCACCCCAACAAAGTGAGTTAAAAAATGTTTAAAATAATGCAACTTTTTCTTTTAAATCAATAATACTTTTAAGATGAGCTTAAACAGTAATTCCTTGATTATTCCCTAAGGGTACGCACACAGTGAAATCAGGTTTGCCCGTGCAGGCAACCTGCTCCAACCTGCCAAAAGAATGAACATAGGATAATAATGTAAGTGTTCACAGTGAAAACCTGTACGAATAGGCTTCTGTATTCTATGGTTTCAGGCACCAGCCTGAGCAGGTAACCAGCATGCTGGCAACCTACTTTCACTGTGTGCGTACCCTAAGAAGGCATTAATAAATTAACAACTAGAAAGATATCGTAATAATTTTTTAACTAATTTTTAATTTTTCATTCATTCAATAGGAGTACAATTTTTCAGCATTTGGTAGCATATTTGTCAGAATTGTAATTTTTCTAATTACCATTAGGCACAATTTGTCTCCATCATGGTACAGTTTGATTCATAGTATTTAAGTTGTTATGAGTCTCCTAAGCTCTTTATTGACTTTCCTTTAGACAGTTAGAAAAATAAGTGATATTGACTTAATATTCTAAACAATCAGTTGGTGCATCTTTGATCTAGGTACTTTTGAAGCCATATTTGCAAAGGAGTCATTTGACAATAGGGCCAGAAAAATGTTACTATGACAGTACATACAAGTTTAGTTTGAATCCTGCTTAAATTGACTTGGCGCTGTTTTATATGGCGGGAATATTTTTCCATCAATTTTTAGCACAAATTGTGTTTTTGGATGTCCCCTTTTGCTACTTTAGCAGTGAAGTGAGCTAAGGTGTGTTGGAAAAGCTTGACAAATGCCAGTAATTATATTTTTTGGCCAAGTTCTCTCAAGTGAGTAATAACTTGATTATGATAATTTTTATTTTAATGACAATAAACTTTACTGTTCTACAACATGATTTCACTTGATATAAATTGCCTTGTGATTTGTCACTTCAATTCAAACTAAGGGTATTTTTGTCAGTGTTCTGAATAGGTAAAAGTTTGCTGTATTCTGCATTATTTCTTCAATAGACAATCAAAAACTACATTAATTTGATGGCTCCATTATTCTCCTTCTTGGTCTTGGTTTTGTTCCTGATGCTTTTTCTTATTTGCTGGATAGTAAAAATTACAATTCAAGTATGTAGTCATTTACCATTATTCTACCCATCCAGAAAAATAGTTAGGATACGTACAAGCTTTATGTCTCCAGTTCTATCAGACAAATGTATCTATGGATCATGAGAGTTCAATATAACACTACACCTTCTTATAGATTACTCTGCAATTTAATCTGTAATATGAATGTCATTTCTTGTTTCTAGATTTGCATTGAGGCAGAGGAGGTCTCCATTGAAGTCTGCTTGAGCACTCGCAACAATAGCTCTCTGCCTTTGCTTGTTCAATAGAATGTAGGCGCTTGACACTTCTTGGCTGCAGGTCTTGTGGCATTCATTTTGAAATATTTAATCTACTTATCTCAGGATTTGTCTAAATACAGTAGCAAAAAAATCTTATGTTTAGTGGCCTTCATTTTCAAAATTACTTGTTGCTATGTTCCTAAGTAAACTTGACACTTATTTATATCATAAAGGCATTAGCTAAAGTGTCCTCTCCTCTCATCCTAATTCAAGTCATTTGAGAGACTGGATGTACTCTTGCAGTGTGAATTCCAATTTGTGTTTTTGTAGCAGATTGGTTATCATTAGATTGAGTGTGATGTGACACTGGGCATTTTTTTAGCATTCACGTCGTCATATTTGGTGTTGTATATCTTTGTTGCGGCTCTATATGATAGAATGGTTTCATTTTTCAGTGAGGCGCAAGAGAAGCTAGAGAAGGAGCTTGAGACTCTGCTCAGTGACTCTCACTCTGAGGATGAGGTTACTGAAACTGAAAAACGGAATCTTAAAACGAGTACCAAGAAGAAAAAGAAGGATAAAAAGAAGAAAAAAAAGAAAAAAAAGAAGAAGAATAAAAAACATAAGAAAGAAAATAGAGAAGAAAGTTCTGATGACTCAGATGAAGACATTGCCTCAGCAAAAGCAAGAAAACGTGTCTCCAAGTCTTCTGAAACAGCAGATCGGCTTTCGAATTCTCCCAAATCAGTTGTGAATGAGGAACCCATTGTCCAATGTGTTTCAGAGATACAGCCCTCGGATGTGAGTCCTCAGCGCGCCGCTGATGCTGCTCTGCCATTCATTCCTCCTGGAAATGAAGTCACGAGCAGCAAAACAGGAAATAATGACGAAACTACCACTCCGAGGAGTCCGTGTGCATCTCCTTCAGAGATAAATAATCCGCCTGATGATGCCTTGCTGAACAATGTCGAGTCTATATCTGAACTTGAAAAACTAGAACTGAAGAAAAACGATTTTGATGTAGAAGCTTTTGACAAGTCTCCATTACCAGTTGAACTGTGTGATAAATCTCATAATCCTGATTGCGCAAGCAACACCAAATTCGTCTCTAAAGATCATGAGACTATTACCGAAAAATCAGAGGCTGTTGAGCAGGATATCCTGGAGACGTCTGTGGAAGAATCCAAATTAGAATCTGGAAAAGGAACTGATGCATCACTGTCTATTGAAATAGCAAATAATTCTCAATATAATGGTAAGCACGATGGATCGACGTCGCAAGACAAACAAAGTAACGTTGCATTGATGTCCCGGGATGGCGAACGGGCGAAATCTGAATCGCGAGACAAAGATTGTGTCGAGTCACATTCGAATGAAAGGGAACGCGCAAGGTCAAAGTCACTTGATAGGAAGCAGAGTGAAGCGAATCCTCTTGACGTCAAACAAAATGGGTCAGAATCCCGCGACAGAATACATTCCAAATCTCGTGATAGAAAGCGAGATAAATCGACATCTCGTGACAGAAAGAGGGATAAATCCAAGTCTCGTGATAGAAAGCGAGATAAATCGACATCAAGTGACAGAAAGAGGAATAAATCCAAGTCTCGTGACAGAACACGCAGGAGGTCGCGATCACTTGCAAGACGACGCAGCAGATCTCACCGAGGGCGGCGCAGTGCTTCTAAATCCAGCAAAAACAAACGTCTGAAGTCTCGATCAAGGTCCCGCACAAGAGCCAAGAGATCTCATTCGAGGAACGGTCGTTTGCGAAGCCGGTCCAGAGACAGAGCTCGCAAGTCTCCATCACGATCCAGAGACCGAGCTCGCAAGTCTCGTTCACGATCCAAAAACCGAGCTCGCAAGTCTCGTTCACGATCCAGAGACCGAACTCGCAAGTCTCGCTCACGATCCAGAGACAAAGCTCGCAAGTCTCGCTCACGATCCAAAGACCGCGCTCGCAAATCTCGTTCACGATCCAGAGATAAAGCTCGCAAGTCTCGCTCACGATCCAGTCGTTCACGATCCAGAGACCGAGCTCGCAAGTCTCGCTCACGATCCAGAGATAAAGCTCGCAAGTCTCGCTCACGATCCAAAGACCGCGCTCGCAAGTCTCGCTCACGATCCAGAGACCAAGCTCGCAAGTCTCGCTCACGATCCAGAGACAAAGCTCGCAAGTCTCGCTCACGATCCAAAGACCGCGCTCGCAAATCACGTTCACGATCCAGAGACAAAGCTCGCAAGTCTCGCTCTCGATCCAGAGACAAAGCTCGCAAGTCTCGCTCACGATCCAATCGGAAAAAGCTCAAGAAGTCTCGCTCACGATCCAATTCTCGTAACAGAAGGAGCCGCCCAAGAAGATCTCGAAGATCACAATCAAGGATAAGGAAAAGGTCTCGGTCTTCAGGAGACAACGGAAAATCCAGAAAGAGAAGCAAGAAAAGTAGGGATAAGAGTTCTGACTCCTTGAAGCCATTTTTGTTGAAGAATTACTCGAGTAAGCCTGTGTTCGCTGAAATTAGTTCCTACATCAAACCCGAGTCGGTGCTGTTTTTGGAGACCTCTGGTGATAAGAACAACTTTGCTTTCCCCACGACTCATTACACCCAGTTGGTCAAGTACAAAGCCATGAAAAAGGTGCTTGGAGCTGAAAATTTTTTGACTGATGATTACCCGAAGAAAAGCTTGGAGCGATATTTCCAAAAGAAAATGCGATCCCAAATGCTGCAAAACGCCGTTGTTTGTCGACCAATCGAAGAAATTGAAACTGACGAGGATATTTTTAAGAAGCCCTGCATTCCTGTTGAGCTCACTTACGCTGAAACTGTCAAGGTTCGCAAACTCAAAGCCGAAGAGAAGAAAGATGCTTACGAGAAATCTTCTTTCTACCTGGACAGCGTTGATGTCAGTAACGGGAAAGACGATGCTGTTGATGCTGAAGAATCTGAGTATGATTTCTACATGAAACAGTCGAAAAGTTTCAATGAACGGCTAGCCAAGGATACCAAAAACGAAAGTTTGTGGCTAGAATTTGTACAGTTTCAGGATAAAGCATTCCCTCACCTGTTCCGTGGCGGCGAGGGTGGCGAGCGCAGCTCCAAGAACAGCCAGTCCAGCAAGAAGGGTAAGAGCGCCCGTGCACTGGCCGAGAGGAAGATAGCTTTGCTCGACGCCGCCATCAAGAAGAATCCTCACAGCCTAACCCTGCAGTTAGAGCGACTAGCTGTGGGCGAGGAGGTCTGGGAGCTGCAGACGTTAAACAAGGAGTGGACGACTCTCGTGTACAACTTCCCAAACAATATGACCGTATGGCAACGGTAAATATTACGCTCTGTACAATATCTTAAATTTTACTGCAGATATGAATTTTAGGTTTAGGTCGTTTATGGGATTGCAGAAGCCACGCGGCGTGCGTTATGAAATATCGTAATAGCGCATTAATATTAACAAATACTCACATAGCATGATGTTCACAGGTACATAGAGCACCATGCCACGAGCTCACTGCAGTTCAGAGTTACGTCGGCGGTCGCGGCTGCCAGCCGATGCCTGGAGAAGCTTCGACTTATGGCCACAGGAGCCTTCGTGACGCACGCGCCCCCACAGCATCCTGGCCTTTGTGCTGTCGATGTCATCGCTCAGGTAGGCAGTTTTGCGGCCACTTACTGTCAATATAATTATCGGTTTATTTTAGATCAATTTAACATTTTGCGCAGAGCATGAAACAACATTGTGGAGCTTGACTTTCGAAAAACGAGTTTCCGAGAAGTCCAATAATTATATATTTAATTTATTTAGTGCGTATATGTGCTTGCACAACTTTTCTTTTAGCCATCAATCCTTGGCATTAGGAAGGTAATTTATTATGCTTCTTAGGTGGAACTTAACTGCGGCAATCACATATCGCAGCTAACGTGACGTTTTACTATACTTTATATTGGTGCTCGTGAAACAGCCGCCCTGCTGCCCCCTAAAAAATCTGCTAAGTTGTGAATCTGCACCAGATAAACCCATCAAAAGGGATGGAACTCTGTAATTCCGCTTAAAGATAGACGACGTTCTCACCAAATATTGTTCTCTTTCGATTGTTCTATTTAATCCATTTTCGCTAAGGTTTCGAGCGTGTGGGCTCAGAGCGGATACAGAGAACGTGCCGTGGGCTTGTGGCAGGCAGTGCTGGAGTACAACCTCTTCACCCCCGACAACTTGGCTCAGCTCAAACATGAAGACAAACTACCTCTTCTTGAGCAGTTCTGGGACTCGAGAGCTCCTCGGTAATAACTTTATCAACATGATCAAACAATTCCTTAGCTTAAACGGTCATTATTAATTAAACCGTGAATCCATGCTTATAGGATAACAAATCTAGTAACTTTTTTATCCTGAATGCTCTCTGGTGAACCATTGCTGATGATTTTGAAGAATATTTATATAAATATGTACGTACGTGCTTGCCAAGCGAACTGTAGTTAAAATATTCTCGAGCCACTGTGATTGTGTATCCAGCTTAAAGTACCGTTCAACTTCGTAGTTATTGTCCTACTGAACATTCCGATAAGTGTTGTCTCGTTCAAATAAAGGTAATTAATTTTAAAATTTATTTATCTCTAGGATTGGCGAGGAAGGAAGCCTGGGCTGGGGAGAGGCTCTCAAGACGCGCCAGGGGGCTCGTTATACAGAGACAATTCTTGGTTAGTAGTTTTCTGTCACTCTTTTATTTAGCAGTTTTGAGTGAGTATAATGTTTTTTGATTAGTCAAGTTGAATGAGATCTTGTTCTTTATCTTTCTTTAATATCCTTCTATCATTTTTATTTTTGATTATGAAACAAGCGTTTTTATTTAGTATCTTAGTTGGTTCAATGTCACACTTGTTAAGGTTGTAAATCCTAATTTTGCTCGCATTCTCCAGAGGGGCAGTTTGATGAAGAAGACAAAATCGTAGAGTGTGCTGTGAAACGCTGCCCTATTTTGCGCAGTCAGGGCCCTGAAATTTTAAACGACTCTGAAGAGAGTGAAGATGACGAGGCTGTTGACAAAGAATGCATTAGCACTGAAGAGAAAATTGAACGCGCTGCTGCCTCTGCCAGACGAAGAGCGGAAGCTGAAGCACGGAAAGCTGAGTACGAAGGTGAGCTGCAGAAGCTTTGGCTGCAACTTGAAGTACTCAGGGAGAAGCGTTACTGGCTACCCTATGCTGCTGATCCTGATGATTGTGAAGACCCTGAGAGAATGGTAGGCTTCGAACTGCTCAGCCCTTTTGTTTTCCCTTTGCCTCTCGGCGACAATACTGGATCAACTGACACTACTGACTCGCGATACAAGAAAAGATGGCTAACGGATGACCAGCACGAGAAGTTCTATCTAGTTTTGAGGTTTCTCCAATTTTTGGGAGTTGATACTGCAAACATTGAGTCCATTTTTTTCGAGTACCTGCAATTAGAAGACTACTCTGCCGATACCTTCGATAATCTCAAAATAGATTCCATCGAGGGTTTACTGGCGAGTGATGTGCCTGCTTCCAGGGAAGATTTCTCAAGTGAGATCGATCTTCTTCCAACTTGCGGACCATCTCTTGCTGATCCTGACTGTGATAAATTTTTCAACTTCGTCAGTAATGTGATAGAAAGGTCAATGTTAGCTTTTCAGTCTCAATATAGCAGTTATCTAGCAGTACTTTTCATCCGCATTATGATTCAAAGGTACAAAGCAATACAAAAACTGAAAGGACCACCCCAAAGATTGCAAAACTTGGAAAAATCTTTCAAGAAAGCTGCGAAAAACTTGCTAAAGAAAGAGGAATTTCGAAGCTCTCTCTTACTGTATAGGGAGTACGGTGCCTTGGAAGAATGCTTCGGTAACGTCGCGGAAGCTGAAAATGTTTATATAAACGCGCTGGTATTAGGAAGCAAAGGCTCAGACGTGTTTGAAAAAGACCCTGACACCTTCCGCATTTTGTCTAGTGTCACCTGGTCGTACTTGAAGCTCCACCTGTCTGTGGCTGCCGAGTATGACGGGGACGATGCTTCTGTTCACACGTCATGCCTCATGAGTGTTCTCTGCGAGCTTGCGAACGAAGGCTGCGTTTCATCAACTGAGGCACAGCAGTTCCAGCCATCCAGTGTACTAAGAGCAAGGAAGAAATATGCAGAGCTACTTGAACTCGCACTACTCACCTTCATCAAGTCGAAGAAACTAAATACATGTAATAACGCCATCATTGTGGAACTGTGCACGTACCTCGGTATTCTTCAGTACCTAGCAAGCGGGATCAAGGCGTTTTGCACCATATTTGAAGAAACGATTGCCAGGATTGTTGACTGTGATAACCCAGCACGACGCTCCGGCAAAGCTACAACTTTGGCGTCTCTCTACAATAACATGGACACATCCGTGGAAGCTTGCAACACTTCGTTGTCACTGCGTAAACTGAGCAACAACTTCCCGTGGGTGACAGGCCATTTGCTGCAGGGTCTGTTTGAGCGTTATGCTTGGCTTTGTATCGTGCTGCCTCGTGTCACGTCTCAAGGAGTAACACGCTCTAGTGACGGCATCACTCCTGCTAAGCTCAAGCTGGTCGTGCAGCAGGCGTTAGTCGCTGCTCCCGACAGTTCCTTGCTCCTCACTCTGCAGGCGACGATGCAGGTGAAGAGAGCAGGATTTTTGTGAACTCGGTATAAATCTTACACTAAGAATTTTTTTTTATAATTTGGTTTAAGGATTACTCGAGCCTTTTATCAAATTTCACTTTTGTGTAGTGTAATGTCTTTGAAACATACTTTAGGTTTGATTGATTATCAAATTGATTGGTTTCATTCCACAAATAATTTTCTCATTGGTATTGAGTGCGCAGTGTTGCGGCAGAATATCGATTTTTTAATCACCTTTTTATTACTCAAGTGATTTTCAAATTGCGATTGGTATCAGTCAGTCAGTCTTGGCTACTGACAGAAATCATTAAAAAATTACAAGATGACTTGAACTAAAACCCGCACAATTTTAGCACAATGCAATCCATGTGCAATTTTATCGTATTACATCCTTATCCCGAATGTATTATACATAGAATTGGCGGGAGCTGTTCAGCGGGGGTGGCGGTGAGCGTTCCACCATCAGACAGCTCGTGTTCAGAGTTCTGCCTCATCTTGCTTCTGCCAGACGCGTGGCTCAACTCGCTTACGCTAACGACTCAGGTCAGGTTATGATATGTTTCTCATCGCTTAATATTTGTGTAATATAATGAACGTTGTATTAGTATAACAAACAGACTAGAAACTGCGTGCAGCCAGAACAAATTATTTGCTCTTCATTTGGGTGGCCATGGTTCCCGTATGAATTTCATATTCTTGACCTCCCTTTTTTTCTACAGATTTTGTCTTCATGACGATATTTTGCAATAAATTTTAATATGTAGTTCACTTCACAGCCGTCTGTGTATCACACACGGTTCTGTCAGTGCTACGCTCCGTCGTGCTGAGAGCTGCAGGACAACACAACCCTCTTCTGTGGCGGTTGTACCTTCACTGGAGCGGGCTCATGAAACGCACTTCTCAAAAAACAAACTCGTTGTTGTACTCTGCACTTACGGCGTGCCCAGCAAGCAAAGTAATTACAAATTCACATATCATTTATTCGCTGAATTTTTTATAGACGAGGCTCGTTTATTTCTCTTGAAGTACATTTTACCTTATGCATCAGTTGAATTTTTTAACATAGATCTCACATTTAACCTTTAAGTAGGTATTCGAAATAAACCATTACATTAGTTAGTCATAAAAGCATATAAACAACCTATGATAATTCTGTTCTCTTTAATCTTTCTAAATAATTTTTAGTATAATTATATTAGCACCTTGTGTATTGATAATAACGCTGACTTCTTATACTTTTTCTTACAGTCAGTTTACCTGAGCGGCATTGATAGCTGCGAGACGTCGCCTGTGCTGCGTAGCACAGTACGTCTCATGGAGGAGCGAGGCCTGCGCTGTCGACTGCCGCTGCAGGAGCTACAACTTTTGTTGCAGGAAGAACAGGAAGAGGAACCAGCATCTAACACGCAGGACATCGATGTAGGAGAAATAGGAATAGCGGAAAAATTAATCGAGCAACTTAATTGACTTTCGGGTGACTAGCATCAAGTTGTTTTCATTTTGTGCAAGTTTCAGCTGAATATATTGTTGCTTATTTGATATGAAATTATTATTACATCTCCAATGTACGTAATTTCGAAGATTTTTTTGGACTAAATAATATTTAATGTTAGAATTCAGGCTTTTCTTTAGAGAAATGTGTGCTGAGGAAGGAATCAGTTTTGGCTCTTGTTCCCATTGCCATTTTGTTAACCATCAAAAGCTCAACTTGAATGCAATCCGCATATATATAAAGTGTTGTCTTCTAAGTGCAAATGAAATGATCTTGTTGGCTTCTCGTATTATGAATCCTTTACGTGTGTAGCTTTTATAAAAATTGTGCCATTTTGACAGGCTAAGCCTGTGGTGGAATAATTTTTGTGAAAAATAACCTATGAAAAAAGCATTTCACTGAGGTACTCGACATCAAATGGTAGAGCTTAAAAAAAGTCATTCTCTCTCTCTTGGAGAACTGAGAAATTGTTTGTCACTTCAAAATTTCACTTTTAGCACATGATAAATAATATTTTAGCGAAGGTAATTGCAAGTATGGTATTTCTTGAAAAAACCCACTGAAAAAACGTTGAACTTGAAACCGTTTTTGGCTAAAGCACGAGGGTATTTTGTTTTATACCTTATATGCTCAAATGACTGGGCTAGTAGGTCAAAAATGACTCCTATTAATATTAATGCGTTTTTATGCCAATTTTTTAATTGTGGTCAATCACACGCTCCGCTATGATAACGTAATATTATATTCAGACCACACATTAATAATTTCGTGTTTGAACCATTTTTATTTTCCACTTTTTAACGTCTTTACAAAATAAAATTAACCAGAATATTAGTAAAGAATGTGAACATAGCAACCAATTATCGTGTGTGTGTATATCTGTTACTGTCCGTCATTTACAGTTCTTTGCTTTTCCCTCTTGTGCCTTCTTCTATCATGACCATCTTCACTAATCAAACAAACTACTTTTACTGTCTGTGATCCTTGCTCACAGTTACATTGCATTTACCACACGTATTACATTTCTATCTTTATTTCTTGGACAAGCGTGACGGCAGCAACTGATCACGCGCGGTAACGCTCTTGAAACATTGTCGAAGAAAGACGTGTTCCATAACCATCCTTACGTTGTCAGTGTGTGCTAATAATCCGAGTCAAGTTATATGTCTGGAAATTCTGAGTTAGCCGACCTCATAGACACAAGTGTGCCAGACGATGAGCTGCCGGAAGAACACATGCCCAACGATTCCCAAATTCGGTATTTCTGTGAGGTTGAACTATTAAATGATGATTCAACTCGAGCAACAAATGGAAGAAAATGTAACTCAGTACTCACTGCAGTGAGTGACAGAGAGCACATTTTTTCGTCGACGAAAACGAAGTCACGGACAGACAGACAAACAGAATGACGGACGGACGGACATAGCGAGCACAATAACGCCTTTTTTCATAAATGAAAAAATGCGCTAAAAAGAGCACTGCTGGGAAGAAGCGCAAAGGCTCCATGCAGTATGGTGAGAAAATGGTGCCTGATTGAAATGGTTTGCGTAAGCACTCAAACGTCAAGTGCAGATCAGTGGACTCTATTAAAGTATAGCCGCAAAACAGAAAGAACCAACTTACACTCAAGAGTAATATTTAATAAGGTTTGCAATCGAGGATGCTGAAATGAATTTAATTTCACCGGAACAGCTATGTTTAGCCTTGGAAGCACCGCCATTCAACACCGTTCACATTAAGGATGTAAGCGTTTCAGATCAACTCGGTTTTGCAAAGTTGCACTAGGTCGTTGACTGATAGTGCCAACCATGAGTCAGGCGATATGTCGCGGCGACTGTAGTTTTTCACGTAAGACAGCATAGTCGAGACCGCGCCACGAACGTCTGGTAACGGATTTGTACACTGGCACCGGGCGTACACATGACACCGTCCTCTGAAGTAGTCGAGTGTTGGATATTGCCATCTCGATTATGTCGATTAGCTGAATTTGAAGGTCAGCACGCGTGATGACAACGTTCAGCAGTCTGCCCATGTTGTGCGTCGGCAAGTTCACGTGATAAACCATGCCAAAGGTGGACAACATGTCGCTCAGCTGACGCGCCGATGGGTCGCTGACGCGATCCACTCAAACGTTTGAACCTCCGGTGACAAGAACATAATCGAGGAAAGTCGCAAGTCTCGTGAAGACATCGCTCAATTCGACGAAAAGTCGCTCACCACAGCTACCGATCCAGGACTATAGATGGTGACTGAAACTCACGCAAACGAGGCACAGGTGTGCCTAGCACATAGCAGCTCAAAGGTGGTCGGTCGGGTGTGGATGTCAAGAATGAGAAGGTGCACGCCTCTGCTGATAGAATAGAATAGAAGTGTCGGCACTGAAGAAATAGGCCCATGGCCTGTTGCCGATTCTTGTTCATAGAATATAATAGAAGTGTCGGCACTGAAGAAATAGGCCCATGGCCTGTTGCCGATTCTTGAATTTTTCGTGACTTGATTCACAAGGGATCCAGCCTTTGGAACCCGATCTTTCCATAACTGACGATTTATTGAGATAGCTGCTGGACTTATTGCCTGGTCCGTAATTTGCTAGGCATTTTAAGACTGAACATATGCTCCTGCATAGCTTCGTCTAGTCTGTTCTTGAAGGCGTTCATACTCGGAGCGTCAACGATGCTATCAGGGAGGCTGTTCCACATGTCGGTGACTCGTAGCGAGAAGAAATGTTGTCGCATGGATGTGTTACAACGCAATTTTTTAATTAATAGCCGTGGCCCCTGGTGTTGGTTCTTGTTTCAAATTCTAGTAATCCTTCTGGGACCTTGTATAAGCCTTGAGTATACTTGTATGCTTCAATGAGTTCTCCACGCAGACGTCGATAACTGAGGCTGACGGTAGCTACTCCACCGTAATTCGTTCCAAGGTGTAATTCGTCGCGCGCGCTCGACTACCTGGCCTGCTTGCTGGTGTCCTGGTGATACCTGTCCGTCGTGTCCGAGAAGCCTGGGTGTTGAGCCGGTTCAAAAAAAGTATGACAATGTTAAGTAGGTTGTACCACAGCACCATGGAAATCTATGTTGTTTGGTAATTGCACGTGTAAGTGAAAACTATCTGGTTAATGGTGTCTAAAAACCTCCCTTTGTGCTGCTATTGAATGGGATCACATTTTTGGCTATTTTACCAACTTGTTTTTCTAGGTGCATCGTGTACAGGGGCACAACAGCCTTACCTCTCTTCCCGACAGGGGTGACCGTCGTCGTCGGCTATCAGTGAAAGTAAACTCTGTGCTATCTCCAAGTATTTTGAATCTTAGGCACCTCGCTTGGAGGTGCTGCGTAGCAGGCCTGCTAGCGAAAAAGTTGTTCATGGCTATGTTGCGACATGTATTTCAAAATGTGCTGGTACACATTTGCTAGATAATGTTTTCATCCAGATCCATCAAAATATCTCTCCCTATTGTCGCCCTGTGCAAACTATATCATCTATTACATAGGGGATGCGTGCGTCAGAAATCCATATGGTCTTAAAGTTAAAGCCATACATTGTAGAAACTGCCCCATATGACAAAATCTGTTCGTTATTTCATTGGTACACAATCACTGGGAGGAATCGCTTTCTAGTCAGTTTCATAACATAGCAAAAGGCTGCAATATGTTCGGTTTCCAGTCGTAAGTTCATATCACATTATCAAATAACTTTGTTCATACTTACTAGTATCAGCTCTTGCGTAGTAGAGTAATCTTTGGAGATATGACACTTCTGTTATAATCTGTGCGGTCCACAATTCAATTCATTTTGACAGTCAGAGATTCAATTCATTGTTACAGTCACAGGGCAGGGTGGCCCAGTGGTTAAAGTTCAGAGTACCAGGATTGGCGCAGAGAGGTGCGGGTTCGATCCCAGCTCTGTGCGCCAGTTTCTGGTCAGAATCGGCAAGGAGGCCGGGCGGTTAAGCACAACAGGATTTGAATCAGTGAGGTGTGATTCCGAGACCGCAAAATGATGTGAATGTTCTGCGATGTTGAGAATCGGTGACAGGCCTATGGCCTAATAAACGCTGAAACCGCTATTATTATTATTATTATTATTATTATTATTATTATTATTAATAATAAAAATCAAAAGTTTCCTTTGCACTCCGTAAGAAAGCATACGCGTCATTTTTTTAATAATTATTAGAATAAGAAAGTTCGAAAAATTTCACTGTGAAGAAAGTTTCACTGTTCTCCAAGAAAACCTTGCCGGGTCATTTTTGACCCACTTGTGCATCCAAAGGCTAATTGCGGTGTCAAATCCCTTTAGTGGGCTTTAGCTTTACACTACCGGTAAAGTAAATGGTGTGGTGCCCAATAAAACTCGGAACCGGACCAAGAAGATATGACAGCTGTGCAAGAAATAGCTCTTCAAAGTTTAGTTATTGCATCGTACTAGCGAAGTAATGACCACCCTCTTTCATTTCACTTCTGAAATTTATGAGTTATATTGATAGTGTCTAATCGAGCAAAATGGGTGAATCCTTCAAAGTAGGCAATAAGGTCAAACTCATCGGAAAAGGTGAGTCACCTCTCCTCACTCAGGGTCAGGCTCAAGTCTCGCTTCATAAATTCTTAGTTGCTTCGTTCTCCAAAATATTTGTGATTTATTTTGTCCTAATAATGACTTTTTTAAAGGGCAAGTTATTTATTTGATAGTTTATTGTAAGGAAATTAAGGTTTTAATTTCCAGTCATTTTAATCAATACCTAACTTCAAAATCTCCAATCAAATTTGGAACATTGGCAGAACTGAAAAAATTTTTGGGTAAAAATCGGCATGAAATATATCTAAATTTTAAGCCAAGCCATTTTTGAAACCGCAAGATTCCTACTTTCACGTGATTAATTACCTATCAAATTATCTAAATTGATCTAGGCTAATTACTAATAGACTACCTAATTGTTAACAAATTCATGAATCATGATCAGGCCATAGCATTAAAAAAATCTACCTTCCAGCTTCCAGGGTGCAGAGGGTGCAAGTAGCATTGCCAAGATATGGATTTTTAGCCCAAAGCGTTGCTAGCCATTTTCAAGATCCGTCTCGGGGTAGGATTGGAATTTTCCTACTTGTTTCTGAAATCTCGCGGTTCCAATGTGACAAATTTTCAATACATTTGGAATCTTGCGGCCTGATCGTGCAATTTTGTTAACAATTAGATAGGAAGTAAATCATCTGGCACCACTATGCAGAGGGTGGATGCAGCGTTGGCACCTATATGGATTTTTAAGCCCAAAGCATCGCCGGCCATTTTAAAGATGCGTCGCCGGGTAATTTTTAATGAAAAGCCATTTACGCAGAGTCTAGTATGGAATATATCTACTTGGCAAGCCGCGACTGAATTTTTTGAGCCGTGGTTTTATGGATTTGCCAGCCGTGATTCCATTTCTACGAGCCGTGATTCTATTTCACCGAGCCGTGAATTCCATATCTCGGCCATGAAAAGCCATTTACGA